TGAAGAGTTAATATTCCAACTTATCCATAGACAATGTACATGGCGCTAGGGTGGTGAAAAGTTAGCGTAGGGTGGTGAAGAGTTAATATTCCAGCTTATCCATAGACAATGCACATGACGGTAGGGTGGTGAAAAGTTAGCGTAGGGTGGTGAAGAGTTAATATTCCAGCTTATCCATAGACAATTATGCACATGGCGGTAGGGTGGTGAAAAGTTAGCGTAGGGTGGTGAAAAATTAAATATTCCAGTTTATCCATAGACACTGTACATGACGCTAGGGTGGTGAAAAGTTAGCGTAGGGTGGTGAAGAGTATATTATTACCATTTATCCATAGACAATGTACATGACGGTGGGGTGGTGAAAAGTTAGCGTAGGGTGGTGAAAAATTAAATATTCCAGATTATCCATAGACACTTACTGTACATGGCGCTAGGGTGGTGAAAAGTTAACGTAGGGTGGTGAAAAATTAATATTCCAGCTTATCCATAGACAATGCGCATGACGGTAGGGTGGTGAAAAGTTAGCGTAGGGTGGTGAAGAGTTAATAATACCATTTATCCATAGACAATGTACATGACGGTAGGGTGGTGAAAAGTTAGCGTAGGGTGGTGAAGAGTAAATATTCCAGCTTATCCATAGACAATGTACATGACGGAGGTGAAAAGTAAGCGTAGGGTGGTGAAGAGTTAATATTCCACTTTATCCATAATTGACAATGTACATGACGCTAGGGTGGTGAAAAGTTGAGATCGTGAAAAATTATGTCCATAGAAAATATGTACATGACGGTGACATAATGGTGAATAGTTTATGTGATTTGGTATTTAAAGAGTCAATGCCCCCTTTCGCAGAGAAAAGGCATATAACGCATGACATGCTTATAATTATGGTGCGGGGATATATTTAATTTCTAACATAAATGAGGTGAGGTCGTAGTATAATTCTTTGATTTGCCCTTAAGTTCTGCGCTTTACCCCCCCCCCCCCCTCCATCATCTACTCTCATTATATCCGACCACCATGCCTATTTTAATTGGTAGCCAGCCATCGTTGCACTGATCATGCCTGATGGATACAATACACAAAGAATATATTGCGTGTGTGTAGTATAGCGGTTGTACTTGTACAATACGATCCTTACACTTATCAAATTGGCAATTTTTACACATTGGATGGGCTACCTTCATCTCCGATTAGGTGTGTGAAGAAAAGCTTCACCCGGTATTGAGGGTGAGGCCTAAACAAAAAAAAACTATGCGGCCGACCCCAAAATCTTGAAATTTACGTTTTTTAGAAAAAAAACATATTGAAGCATTCAATTCAAAATAGGGATGATTTTTCTTTTTTTTAACTGTGAGGGAGCGCAAAGAGCGAGGGCAAATATTATTCATATTTGAATACTGGCTACAGAGTCTATTCGATCTTCGTTACATCATAATTATCTGTATATCTTTGCATTTTTTCAAAATTTTCTGAGGATGATAAAAATTATCGTCCTTTGCAAAGGTTCTGGAGAGTGTTCCCCCCCCCCCCCAAAAAAAAAAATCAAATCAAATCAAATTTGGTGCATGTGTGTGGGGGAGAGGGGGAGGGGTTGGTACATGTAAATTGTGTATTCTTTAGGTATACTTGAAGGGGGGTGTAAGTGTCGGAGGGGGAGCACGTGTTTTCCTTTTCCTCTAGATCCACAACTGGGTAAGAAGTTTGTCAATAAGAAATACACAAATACTTCCAAATTTTATGGAATGTCTACAATCATTTCTGCTCATATAAATGGTTAAGCAACACAAATGTTAACGCACTTTTACGTTTATGACGCTAACACAGTGCAACGTTTTATGAACTGCACAGATAACCCCCAAAACACTATTTATTTTGTCGAGGAAGGGTGGACATGACAGGGTATATCTTAAATCTGACTCGTATTTCATACTTTGTCTTTACCCATCCAAAGCGGCGGATCAAGGAATTTCTAAAAGAGGGGACCGAATCCGAACTCAACGGGTGCGCACACAAGCCCTTAGGGCTTAGGCAGCGACTTTATTTTTCCCTCACCCCCCCCCCCCCCCCCTTCTCCCCTCTCTCTCTCTCTCTCCTTTGCAATTCTTCTTCTCTTTTATTTATTTATTCTATTCCCTTTTCCCCTTTTCCTCGTCGCTCTCTATTTCTATTTTAAACATTTAAGCCGCCAAAGGGGGTGACGGCCGATTCGGGCCCCATCTGGATCCGCCACTGATCTTGTGCAAGTAAAAGTTAGGTCAGTTTGTTTTTTTCTTCCCTAAAAATAATTTAACCAAGTAACTAAAACATAACATGTTTAATTTTCCTTGTCATTCGGTCTAATTAACATATTAATAGTGTAGGTCAGGGGTGGCGATTTCTTGTTATGACCGGGGGACCAAATGCGAGGAGCCAGTGGCGTAATGAGCAGAATCCTTTTTTTTTCGGGGGGGGGGGGGGGCAGAAGAAAAAAAAAATCCGCATCATCACCACTCTTATACATGCATGCCCCACAGAGGGTAAAGGGGTGGAGCCTCCGGAAGCTCAGGGGTTTTATGCATTTAGTTACGGTCAGATGAGCATATATTTTGTTAGCTCATTTGTGATACTGGATGGTCACTAATTGGCGTGAGGTCGCCCCCTAAAGTTCAGGGGTTTAGGCATTAATTACGGTCAGATGAGCATCCAAGTGTCCGCCTTAGGGCCTTTGGTGGGGTCCAGGGGGCGGAGCCTCCGCAAGCTTGGGGTTCTAGGTATTCAATTACGGTCAGATGAGCATACCTCCCTTTTGACACTGGCAGGTCACTTTTCTTTCTTTCTTTTTTTTTCTTTCTTTCTAGTTCTCTTCAAAATACTTTTCCAAAAAAAGTCAGGGGGCCGGGGGGGGGGGAAGGCTCACCGAACCCCGCCGATCTGCGTGCCTTGACATGACTTGTAGTCTTCTACATAAGCATATTTTTTGCCTGACTGAAAATTTGGGAATATGCCATTTTCATATAAACGCATAAAACGTATAAATTACAAAAAAGGGATAAAAATTCCCGGAAAATAGTGTAATTTCAGCAAACACATTTTGTAAATCAATGGTATCGAATGAGAATTAAACTACATTTGAATTTTATTGGGGGCAACTGCCCCCCCCCCCCCATCAATACGCCTAGAGGACGAGGGAGCATAGCGAACGAGAGGGGCGAAGATTACGGCAGTGACTAGTAGGCTACCCCCTCACATGTTTTTGTAGTTTTATTGTATTACAAAATTACATTCCTTAGCAAAACTAAAGTATAAAACCAAGCAATATACCCTTTTTCACACTTTACTTTTATTTTGCCGGTAATTAGTGTGCAATCCGAAGAGTTGTACATATCAGTTTAGTAGGTAAATTTTAGTAAGTAGGGAGCTTGGGCATGGACGGGATTTTTTATTTCCTACTCCGGGCCTCTGTCATATAATTATGTACAGTATTGTACTGTATCAACGCTAAGGTTGAAATGGGAAATATCAGCCTGGCAAATTATGTTGTAGTGACTCCTTACTGAAAACAGCAAGCGGAATTTTCTTTTTGTAGCAATGATCTATTTCTATAACTCTTTATCTTGTAAACATACAGTATGTAAACTGTGCTTACGTGATACCATCGGAAAACAGATTTTCTAAATTTTTTAGTTGTACATTTTGAAGGATATTATGCGAGGGAGGTTAGCGACCGAGCGAGAATTAATCTTTATGTAATTAATCTTTATGTGTTAATTGAACTTTCATGTTTTTTTTTCTCTATCTCTCTCCTTTTCTTTTCTCGCTCTATCTTTTTCTCTTTTACCTTCTTTTCTTCTATCGCTTGCCATTTTTCCCTTTTCCTTTTTCCTTTTTTAAGCCGCACATTAAATAGTTTTCCATCCCATCCTTTATGTTGCCGACCCGTTACTCAGGGTAGCGATTCCCCTCTGCCCCCCCCCCCCCCAAAAAAAATGGTTTTCCCCTTCTTGTCTCCTTATTATTCTTTCGCCCTCCCCCTTTTTTAGGCTGCCAAGGGGGGGGGGGGGTTGATTCGGCGCACATCTAGATCTGCCACTGCATCCATTATGGGCATCAATTCTCGCTGTGGAGAATGGAACTGAGTAAAAATTGCGTTAAGAGAATTTATGAAAATATGCAGAATATATCGAAAAGGATATATCTCAAAACGAACGACAAACAGTGCATCCGATAACATACCTGAATAAAATTAATTTCAGTTCATCTTTATTTCTCAAACCATAATAAAACATTCTATGAGGCAGACACAAAAGTATAAGAATAACAGAGTAATAAATCAATGCTGTATATGTAGACAATACTGTGTTGAGCAGCATAAAAGGGCCTAATTCAATTCAATTCAATTCAATTTCGGTTTATTAATATCAACATATACAACGTACAACGCAGTATAGTCCAGGGACCAATAATGCAATGTTTACATAAAATGTGCATAAAAACAGGAATGATCATATAAATGTACAATACAAATGATAAAAGATAAAGTTTACATTATTGTTCATACCTAAAGTTATATACGTATATAAATAAATGATAATAGAATAATGGTTGAAGATAAACGAAAAGAGCTTCATAAAGAGTAAATGTTCGAAATTGACATCTTGACAAACTATAAAATGGTTAATACAAAAATAAGTTTCACTCGTGAAGTTTACTTTGTGTTTAGCCGAATTTTTAACAGATTTATGCCGACAAATGGAAATGTGGGGAGACGTGATATCAGTTTGTAGTCTTTCATGTTGACAGGATGAATGTATATGTAATTACTCGTAGTTCATCTAATTACCATATTTTTATCTCAAGTCAGAACCTCTCATTCTCATAATTCATTTTTGTTCGAATTGCTCTGTATCGATTTTTTAATTACTCTGTTGTGTATATATTTTAAGTATGTTGTTTTTATTGAGAATGAAATAAAAACTGAACTGAATGATGAATAAAGAAAAGTTTTTGGAAATCAGAAATCAGATCAGCCTTTCGATAGGCCTTATTCCTGCCGCATCCTGAAAAGCAAACGGAGAGTTTAGAGGATTGAGACCAACTCTCCCCCCAGAGTCATTGAGGACATCGACATCCTCGTCGTGAATGTAACAGGCATTGGGGTCAGATGGGTTAAGTTCGAGTTCTATGTCGTTATCGAATGTGTAGGACTGTCTTCGACGATAGATGATGATTAGCCAGACCACGCCCAAAACGATGAGGACTAACCCACAAACACCACCGATGCCCCCGATAATGTACATGGCTTTGACGGTAGGTGAAGTTTCTGTTTTAAAGAGAGAGAGAGGGACAGGCAGATAGAAAGAGAGAAAGAGAGAGAGAGAGAGAGAGAAAGAAAGAGAGAGAGAGGGGGAGAGAAAGAGAGTGTGAAAGAGAGAGAAAGAGAGAGAGGGAGTGAGGGAGAGAAAGAGAGGGAGAGAGAGAACGAGAGAGAAAACAAAAGAGAGAGAGAGAGAGAGAGAGAGAAAGATTATTTAGATATCTTTCAATGAGAATAATATGTCTATAATTAAGGGTCGGATTGATTTAGTCTGAAATGGGCAAGGCTTTTGCCCTACGATTGATTTTTTATGATATTAAATAATCCCCTAAGCTCTCATAATATAGGTCTACTGGCTAAGGCAAGGGGTAGGGGTATATTTCTTCCCATCCCCCTTCTGCCCTGCTCAGTGCCCACCCCCTGAAATGGTAATTTTACGTCACGTCACATACCTTTCTTTTTAGATAAAGTTGCACATGATGGGAACAGTTTTTTTCTTTCTTCATACATCACAACTTATCAATGTATTTATGTCAAAATCGAGAATAAAAATCGGGCAAATTAAACTTTGTTTTTAGGTGCATAACATCTATACAGGTGCATAGTTCAACATGCTGAATAAATATATTCACATGATGATAATGATAATTTTTTTTATTTATGGAGGCTAAATCGTTTTCAAAACATCAAAGGTCGACCGTGCGAATACATAAAGGATCATTAATGAAGCAAATAACATGAGTTCATGCAAACTAATATCCTGTTTTAACTTTTGTTTGTCCTGATGTGTAAGAAATACTTAGTCTATATTTTAAGTTCTCCCCTAGCAATGTGTAAAATATGGATTAAGAGATGGTTGGTACTACAAGATTCAGTAGCCACAAGAAAGACCAGTTCCGGGGAGTTGTTTAGTCTTCTCCTGCAGGCCTACCGAGGAAAATAGATCTTAAATAATCTTACTTGATGGCGCTGTCGTTTGGTTAGTGCTCCCAGCAGCTGTGGAGAGGTCTTCCGTCGAAGAAGTGGTAGCTCTTGATGGTTTTTCCTCAGGGGTGGTACGGACGGTCATAGTGGTCTCAGGGAATATGATTTCTGGTGTAGCCGAAGCAGGTGAAGATGTGGTCGTCTGCAATCCAGGTGTCCTTTCACCAATAACTGTTGTCTGTGTAGCGATAATATCAGTCACTACTGTCACTTCTGAAACAGTTTCATTATCCGTATTTAGAGAAGTGGCCAGACTGGTTGCGGAGGTTCTTGGTGTTGATTGTGCCACTGTTGTGAAGTCTGCAGAAATATCTGGCAGTTCAGAATATGTCGTTTCGACAAAATTTCTTTGAGAAGAAGACATGGTGGTGCTTTGGGTATGTTGGGAGACATCTGGAGGGAATGTCGTACGCATAACATTTGCAACTGTTGACTGCATTTGCGGTGTTGATAAACCGTCGGTTACTGTTTCTAATGGAAATGTCACTCCTTCTGATGCAGTTTCAACTGTTGAAGATGGCACAGATGCATTCACTGTCGTAAGTTGGGTGTTTGTGGTGTAAGGTGTTGATGACAAAGATGAGGTAGGACTAGTTAGAGTAACAGTTTCTGTTTCGTCAGTGAATGTCTGTAGGTTGGATGTTGTCAGTTCTCCAGTTACCGTTTCCAATGGCAACGTCACTCCCTCTGCTGTAGTTTCATCTGTTGAAGATGGCACAGATGCATTCACTGTCGTAAGTTGGGTGTTTGTGGTGTAAGGTGTAGATGGCAAAGATGAGGTAGGACTAGTTAGAGTAACAGTTTCTGTTTCGTCAGTGAATGTCTGTAGGTTGGATGTTGTCAGTTCTCCAGTCACCGTTTCCATTGGCAACGTCACTCCTTCTGATGCAGTTTCAACTGTTGAAGATGGCACAGTTTCAATAACTGTAATGAGTTGGGTGTTTGTGCCATCATGTGTTGATTGCGAAGATGATGCATTGCTCGTTTGGGTAACAGGTTCTGTTTCGCCAGATAACAAAGTACCTGTGGGTATTGTTGTTTGTTTTGTTACTGGGCTAGAATTGAAAATGTTACCCTCTGGAGTTGTATGAATTCGAGATGTGCCTCCTTTTGGTGTCAATGTTTCCATTGAAGAAAGTGGGTTCTGTGGAACTGTTGTCTCTATTGAAGTCTCTGTCTCAATTGTGTAGGTTGTTTCTCCAGAAATTGTGTCTATTGTAGATGATGTACCCTCTGAAGTTGTCTCTGCTGTAGATGTTATCTCGGATGTTGTGTTAATTATAGTCGCTTCCTTTGAAGTTGTAGCTATTGTAGTTTCCTTTGAAGATGTCTCTAATGTAGATGTTACCTCGAATGTTGTATCGAGTGTAAATCTTTTGTCCAAAGATGTTGTTTCTAGTGTAGAAGTCGCTTCATCTGTTGTCGTCGACATTGGAGTTGTTGTATCTTGTGTTGTATCAAAAGATGTTACCTCTATTGTAGTAATAGTTTCGTTAGAGGTTGTAGATGCTGTCTCATCTGAGGTTGTAACTATTGTAGCTGTTGTTTTACCTGTGTTTGCCTTTGCTGGAGATGATGTCACCTCAGATGTTGCTTGTAAAGTTAATGTTGCATACTCTGAAGTTGTTTCAGTTGTAGATGCCTCTTCGGTAGATATTGTCTCGAATGTTGTATCTATTTTAAATGTTGATTCATCAGATGTTCCTTTTATTGTAAAAGTTGTTTCCTCTGACGATGGCTCTATTGTAGTAGTCGCTTCCTCGGAGGTTGTTGCTAATGTAAACGATGTTTTATCTGACGTTGTCCTCAATGTACCAGTTATTTCGACTAAAGCTGTTCCTACAGAACTACCAGCTGGAAAGCCTTTATTCTCTGAAGTTTTTACCTCGCCTTTGAGACATTTAGTCGTGGAGCAGATCGTTAGTCTATCTGTATATATATAGGAAATACAACAGTTACGATTTCATTGAATGATTCATTTTCCCATTATTCGTTTCTACAATATACAATATACTTCCTACAGATATGATTTTGAGGAGTATACTTTGCTCTTGCGAATTCCCTTCCAATTGAAAAAAGGTCCCTAAACTGCATAGCGCACTTTGTTACAATAAAAAATCGAATATTTTATTTTCCAATAAAGCAAAACTCACCTACGGTTTTTATTTTATTATTTTTCAGTATACACCTTTTTCGAAATAACATCGTATTTTTCTGAGGGTACATTTTTTCTTTGATATTTGAATTTTGGTTATATGCTGTGCTTTTTTGGATAATGATTGATTTAGGGCATCATGTACAGCGCCAAACCTTAACAAATCATGCAAAAAGAATGTTTTGGGAATTATATTTCTGATAAACCCTTGAATTATTGTGTTTTATCTTGGAGTCATACAATAATATACATGTGGACATGTAAAGGCTTGTATTAGGGTTTGACCATGATTCAGAACTTTAGTTTGGATAAGTCAATATTAGTTAAATTTACTTCTTCCTTGTCCAGATAAGGAAATAAATCGGGAATTAAATGTATAGGTCTCAATTGAAGTGCTCAATCATCCCTTACAATAAGTAAGTGTTTAATCATCTCTGACAACAAGTGTTTAAAAAAGCTGATTTTTTAAAAATAAAATCACATTCATGAATGTGATAAATATTAATTATGTAATAACTGATATAACAAGAACAATTATTATTTTGACGTTTCCTACCTCCTTCTGTCCTGCCTGGAAAAGAAATGATGGCGAACCATACGAAGATACAGTAAGTGAAATCCATTTGAAATGCGTTCCTTCGTTTCGGCTCTGTATTATTATCTGATATTAATTGTCTTCATAAAAATAATCATTTAAAACGTGTCGGTCGCATATCGTTTTGTGGAAACTCCCTGTTCTGAACATGTACGATTACTGCAAAGTATATACAATACTAACTGTTTTGTGCTGTTTATTATAACGATAACAAGCTTTTTTTAAATTTACGATCGAGTCAGATATTTCAAATGACAATTACCCAGTCCAATATAACCCAATAAACAAATTGATACAATCCTATGTAAAGACTCGAATGTTTATGCCTGAGCAAAGTGTATCTCGGATCGTAAAAACCCCAAAACAAGTAAACTACATGGTTTCATTTTCAGCTCGATTTAAATTCAGTTATAGTTTTATATTTCGCATTTGATTGTATAAACAATGAAATACACATTGATGTTAAGGTATCGTTGTGTACACTGTCAGGTCAGATAAATCCTCTTAGATAAACTGGGTCCATCATGCCCCGCCCCTAAAATTTCGCAATTATCTTTCAATACGAGGAAAGCTAATCACACGCTGTAGAATATGATTTGCTATTGGAAAATTAGTCGAGAAGAAGGTAAAGAGGAAAGAGGATATATTAGCAATATCGTGATAACTTTTATGCCTATAAAATTGGGGACAAAAAAAACTTTGAAAAAACAACCGAATAACGAAGTATGAGGGGGAAAAATCAAGAGAGAAGAGAGAAGAAGAGGAAGGAGGAGGCGGAAGATGAAAAGAGAAGAGTAAGAAGAAGAAGAAGGAAAAGAAAAGTAGAATACACCCCCTAAAAAAGAACAAAACCGCTCTTTAAATACTGTCATTATCCATCACTTGGGTGCGATATTGAAGCAAATTGGTTTAGGCCTATAGATGGCGCTATATCCTTCTTTAATTTTCTTACCTTACATTTATTAGATGTTGATAGGGGCATTTATAACATGTTTAAAGGGGCATTTATGAAAGCCCCTTATTAAAAAGGAAAAGTTGTTTCCGAGTACCGAAAGTCCACCCTGATATGAAGCAGAAAAGTAAGAAACAGGTAAGTGAAACTTAAACATGCTGCGCTCCGGTGGGGGGGGGGGGGGATCACAGTGACCCCCACTTTTTCAGATACCCAAAGTGCCCCATTTTATTGTATTTTATTGTATTTAATAACATTTATTTCCTTCTCAACAGTACAATATGAAACACAATGTATATATACATGATATATGTAACAATTATTTCAACATAGAGTATACAGTAAATAATTTACATCGAGAAAGCGTCCCTTTCCTTTGTAAGACCCCCTATGAAAAAGGGATAGGTCTCTTATTAGATTGGAAAAGGGGCAGGTATCACTATTAAAAGAGAAATTAGCAGATATGAAAAGGGGCACGTATGAGAATGAAAAAGAGACACACTTGTAATAAAGTAAATGTGCATTTGTTGAAAGAAAAGGGGCACGATTCAGATTTTAATAGGGGAATTCATCTGAGGTGAAAGGGCGCTTTTATGAGAAGGGGGGAAGTGGCTCTTATTGAAAAGAAAAAAAGGTACGTGTTAAAATAAACGGGGCACTTATCAGAGATGGAAAGAGGTAATGATGAGAAGGTGAAGGGGCGCTTATAAGAAGGAAACAGAGCATTTATTAGAAAGGAAATGGGGCACGTGTCAAAATAAAAAGGGGCTCTCATCAGCGATGAAAAGAGCACTTATCAAGAGGAGAAGGGGCAGTTTTCAAAGTAAAATGAGCATCTATCAGATTTGAATAGGGGCAAATATCGGAGGTGAAGAGGGCACTTATCTCAAGTGAAAAGGATTAACTTCTTCCTGTACCTGAAAAGGGTCATTTACCAGAGAGGAAAAGGGGTACCTATGAGAATAAAAAGAGACACTTTTCATAGGTGAAAAGGGGCATTTATGAGAAGGGGAAAGAGCTTTGTTTTAATGGGGGCACTGACCATGAGGAAAACGGGCACAACGGTGAAAATAAAAGGTGCGCTTAAGAGGAGGGGGCACTTCTTACAAAGGAAAAGTGACACTTGTCGAAGTAAAAGGGGCACCTCGCAGATTTGAATAGGGCAATTATCAGAGGTAAAGGGAGCACTTCTCATACCTGAAAAGGGACACTAACTAGAGATGAAAAAGGGCACTAATGGGAATGAAAATGGACACTTGCGGCGAAGGAAAATGGGAACTTAATTGTTGAAGGGAAAGGGGCACGTATAAAAAAAGGGGAACTTATCAGAGGGGAATAGGCACTTTTCCTATGAAAAGGGGGCACTTTTAGGGTACTTGCCCCTGCCCCCACGGGAGCACACCAACTGATGTCATCCCTGGTGGTGTAATCACAATCATGACGATGTAGCAGCCCGATATAGGGCTATATTCCACTGTCTAAGAATTGTGTATGTTCACTTTGAGGTTTCCCTTTGTAAGTGCCCCTTTTTTCAGAGAGTGCCCTTTTTGTTGATGCCCCCCCCCCCCCCCCCCACACACACACACACTTTGGAATACGCTTTGCAGGCCCTGAGTGAAAAAGTTTGAATTTTGGAAGGTGCGATCAATCAGAGCCGAAAATGGAGAGCTCGCAAGATACGCCATAAGTTCACAATTGGTCACTGATGCAACTTCAAACAATTATGACCTATTTTAATCGGATATTTCTCAAACTTCACGAAGTAGTTTCTCTCTTATGTGGACTTCCCCCTTTATGGAAGTAGTGCGATGTAAATATATACATGCGATATAAAACGGAAGCAATGATTGGTTAATTCTGAGTGTATCTGAAATATAAGTGATGCTGCAAAGAAATTCATGTACATCAACATTGTTGTCGCATGTGTTTTGTACCTAAGAATTGGTAGGATAATCTTTTTGTAGTGATAAATAAAGTCATTCATTCGTTTTAACAATTAGTCATTCACGAATTGATGTACACAAATTTCTTTCAAAGAACAGAACCGCAAAATATTAATGAACTTTCGCATTTCATTTATTTTTTATCACTAGCGCAGTCCGTTTCACCAACAGTGGCCAATTACATGTCGGCTTATAACGGGACATAATTCAAAGGATTGTACAGCGAACTAGCCTAGCTCCCGACACACAGCACCAATGTATAGCTCTCGCATGCTAGCTAGCTACATACACATTATTCGCGATCGAGCTCCCCTGATTTCCCACAATCCCGTGCTTTCGCACTGGCGCCCCATGTGTAATATCAGCGAAGGAGAGTTGAGGCCAAGAAACACCTTTTACCGGCTAAAAAGCGAGCTTTTCCTGATTGAAGCGGTGATTGTGACAAGTTTTTAAGGTATTTCCTCCTATAACCTATCATCTGGAGGAGCAACATCATGGATCTAGTAGCATATCTTGAGAAAACCGTGTCTCCCGGTGAGTATTTTCTGTCTCACAAGACGATTTATTTGTGTGGTCATTCATTTGGTGCACTTCTTGTCAATGGCAATGCACTGCATTTCATCGTGCACAATCTACACAGTTTCACTGTCAGCACTGATCAGCAGGCAGCAGCACACTCACGTCGCTAAATACAGCACAAAATAAATTAGAACAGAGGCTAAAGTACATTCCCGACTGTTACATGACTTAGTCAATGTAAATGTTGAATGATACAATATTATATTTTCCATGTCCATCTAAAGTTAAAACAATTGTTGCTGAGAACCTAGTGAAATATTTGTTGCGTGCCTGTTGTTGGAAATTGTTGTTGAACACGGAACAGTCCGGATCTAGACTCTAACTTTGTTAGTGCAGATAATTAAAATAGAGTCTATTCTGAGCTACTTATTCGGGGGCAAACTCTGACTCAGATTTTGGCATTCTGTTATTGAATTGCATTCCTCAAAATTACAAGTTGCCACCTTCTCTTGCGGAAAGACTGGCGTATGGCGTAAATGTTGCATCAAAACCTTGCAGTTTCACTAATTTGGAAAGATTAAGCACAAATTGGAGTTTCACAAGTAAATGAGAGAAAGATCACAGACAACTGGAAGAGAAATATTTCCATAATTCATAAAGTAATTCATAGATACGACAGGCCGCAACATGTAATTTGGAACAACAAATGTGATCATTATTATTGGTAGTCCTCTGTCTACCCTCGGGTTCATCAGCATCAGAACGCCATTTCGAACGGTTAAAGCAAATTGATGCTCATGTTGAAGTGTCTCTAGAAAAATATAAGATTCTTCAGCTTGAAGCAACTCTGTTGAGATAACAATTTTTGCATGTTTGAACAAACAGAGCCTCAAAGTCTCAATGGATTTAATATTATGGGTTGTGACAAAAACCTTTTCAGCCGATACATATCGTTATCGTGAATTTTTCACAAATAATGGCTTTGAAACAGTTCAAGCTTCAAGATGATTTATTGTCATCTAAACAATACATACAAAATAATTACATTTTAACATAACATTTAACAATCATCACAATTTTAAGTCTGTTGCATGAAAAAATAAGATTATATTGAAGGAAGCAGTGCAATTAAGAATCTTGTTTTCAGCTTGTCTATCCAGGCACCTCCATGCCAGAACACGTCTCCGGGAAAGAGTACATGTTGTACTTTATGCATCATCACACATAGGCCTGAGTCATCACGGGTTTTGCCGAACCCGGTTTTGACTTGAAAATTTCGGGCGGGGACAGCGTACCCGAAATTTTCACCACTGACACTAAAATGTGTGAATGCAGGGGCGGGAGTTAAGATTAAGTTGCTCTTCTAATAATGCGACGAAAGAGACAGTTACTGCTTTCAAAACAATAAAATAATAAATTAAATTAAATTAAGATGCTTTAAAAAATAAATGGATATTGTTTCAGTTGACGGTAGGTGTTTTTATCACTCTAAAATTGAGGCTGCAAGAAATGAATCACGCTTCGTTGTACCGATCGAGTGCGTTCAGAAACGGAAGTGGAAATAGATCTATGACCCACTGAAGACAGAGCAAGAAAGTGCCACACACAAGACTAAAAAAATGTTGATCAGACTATTCCAATTAAATCGTGATACTAAAGGCATTAATTCAATTGTCAAAATATATCCACAACATAATGGTTTACCCTTGATAGTTTGATGAAGGAAATATTAAAGCTCTTGAAATAACATCGTTCGGAAGTGCCTTTCGTTCATTCTAAAAATGCGTGTATAACGGCAATCAGAAGTTACGAGTCAAGCTTGATATGCATGTTTACATCCCTACACCGTCATCCGACCTGATCGGAACAATAAGCATTTAACCGATGAAAAAACATCACGTAAGACTTTAAGGGACTCAAATTCAATAAAATTACCGTAAAATAATAATCTTCTTTGAGTAATAATATTATAGATATCCATAATATCTTACAGAAATAATGATATTTCATGAGCTACGTACTCGTAAGATATTATGAATATCTATTCTATAGTATTATTACTCAAAGCAAATTATTATGTTATGATAATTTTGTTGAATTAGAGTCCCTTAAAGTCTTACGTGATGTTTTTTAATCGGTTTAAGGCTTATTGTTCCGATCAGGTCGGATGACGGTGTAGAGATGTAAACATGCATATCAAGCTTGACTCGTAGTTCTGCTTGCCGCTAACACACATTTTTAGAATGAACGAAAGGCACTTCCGAACGATGTTATTTTAAGAGCTTTAATATTTCCTTCATCAAACTATCAAGGGTAAACCATTATGTTGTGGATATATTTTGACAATTGAATTAATGCCTTTAGTATCACGATTTAATTGCAATAGTCTGATCAACATTTTTTAAGTCTTGTGTGTGGCACTTTCTTGCTCTCTCTTCAGTGGGTCATAGATCTATTTCCACTTCCGTTTCTGAACGCACTCGATCGGTACAACGAAGCGTGATTCATTTCTTGCAGCCTCAATTTTAGAGTGATAAAAACACCTACCGTCAACTGAAACAATATCCATTTATTTTTTAAAGCATATTTATTTGATTATATTGAAATATAAGTTTGTGAATCGCATATTTTTTAGTTCTATATTTCAAAATATCAGTGTGAAATTTAATTTTGAAAAACCCGAAAACCAAAAACCGGGTTTCAGCTCGACGGTCGGGGCCCGGGCGGGGAACCGTTTCGACTCAGGCCTAATCACACATACACACACGCACCCTTATGAATACACATGACAGCTCTATGACATGTCTCATGATGTCTGTAGATCAGGGACAAAGAAACAAGATACATTTATGACTGTCATGGAGTTGGTTTTGTAAAGTGACTCCGATATTTGTAATTTGTGAAGTTGCACAGCCAAGAGGGAAATGAGAATATCTATATCAAGAGCTCTTTGCTCATACATTATAAGGAAACAGAAACAACAATAATTCAGGAGGTGTAAGTTTCCAAGGGAAGAACTTAGGGAGGATTGTTTCACTATATCTACCAGATTTTGTTACATTTTGACTTTAAACATGAAAATCTGATGTTTCCATTTGTATTCATCAATCAGGCCAAAGAAGAACAAAACAAGAATTGGTGTTCTGTTTATATTTAGTCCCAAATGTATGAATTAGTGCACCTAGTGATTACAATGAAGTAGCCTAATGCTTTGACTCTTGCTTACAATAGTACATGAGAAAGAGGCATGGCACATTTTACCTTTAAGGCATTTAAATTGAGTTTTGGCACAAGTATGACTTCTGGAAGGTGTTTAAAAATTGAGGCCTGAATTTTCATCTAACTGTCTCCTGTTTTTAAAAGCAATGTTTAAAGGTAACTATAAATGTCGGGTTGCATACCTGATCATGCACTTTCTTTCTTTGAAAAATAGCCTATATTACAAGTATAGCTCTTCTACTCAAAAGGATTGGAGGGTTTTCAGAGACTTGAGTAATCTGTTCTACATTGACATGTTGCCAAGCATTAACTGAATTCAAAATGACAAGTCCAGGTCACACACATGTATTTCAGGCATATGTCTTTCTTAAAAGGTCTTGAAAAGATCATTGTTGCTACTCTTCTCGTGTCATCCAGGAAATAGTCCAATAAAAAGATTCTGCGCGGCATTTATAAGTGCGTCACCACATTACAGTGCAACGTGCATTCAGTGACTAGTACAATGGGCATTGTATTGCGCAATGATTATTTCTGGCAATTTTCCATCAAGTGGCTTCCTGCCCTGGCTATGCTAGGCAGATCTGAGCCTGTGCATTAAAGTGTAACAATCACCTGAAAAAAAAGATGTGTATAGCTAGTATGTATAAAATCAATCAAAAAAAAGGTGTCATGGTCTAGTGCATTGGTACATGTACGTCACCGGTCTGTGGATCACATCGAGTTTGAGCCCCGCTGCGGCACTATTAAATGTCCTTTAATCTTCATTTGGCACTGTCCACCCTGGTGACCTAAAACATAGGAACGATCTTCATACAGCCAAAGCTAATTGCAAACTACATGTACATGTAACTCCATGTACTTACTACTCAGTGGGATAGTTGCTCTGCTGCATGATTAAAGAGAAGGTTGAGTTCTTGGGAGAGGTGAAAAATATTATATTAAGCGTCTTGTTATTATGCAACTGTGGAAGAACAGCAGAGAAATTTTTTCCCCTGAAAAGCATGGCTCTTAAAATGTCTTCATATTCTAAATATGACATGAAGCAGCTTAAAAATATGCGCCTCATTTTTATGCCACATGTTTGTGTAGTCCCATATACATCTTTCTGTGTACAGTGCTTGATACTTTTACCAAGACTGGGCCAATCTTATCATTTTGATGATTACAGAACCTTGCAGTACACACCAATACTTATATGCTACATGTACATGATAAACTTTGTCTGATCGATTCCACACTGTTTCTTTCACATTGCAATCGCATGGCCAGAATTTAACTTTACCTTTAAGCTTTCAAAATGATCCCCATCTTGAGCTGCATGTACGTTGTAAGAATAGTGGCCTACATGTAAGTCTTAATTAAAGTTAAGTTAAGTACTGCTTCTGAATGTTCACAATAAAAACAAAATGCATTATTGAAAAATGATAATGCAAACGAGGAGAAAAATTGTTACAGATAAATGGGTTAGCGAAAAATAAATGCATTAATAAATTGAGAACATGTAAAAGAATTTTTTCTCTATTGGCTGTGTGTCACCAACTACGATTATGTTGTGGGTAAACTTCTGTGATTATTGCCTGAAGTTATGTAATACATGTACACTGAATGTAATTTCATTTTCATATTCAGATACTGCGGAGCTAGAGCGGGCGCAGAAATTCCTAGAACAGACAGCCATCGACAATTTTGTAAGTATTGTAGCAGTTTTGTTAATAAGATCAATTATAAAAGGAATTATAACAAGAATACAGTGCATAAAAATCTAAGGAAGCTTTAAAACATGAGGCCAGTACTGTGTGGAGAAAAGCCCTTCTGCTTTTGTTGTTTTATTCCTCTGCTTTGGTTCCTTTCTCATCCATGAAGTAGGATGTATTTTTGGAGAACATGTTTTGAAAGCATTAGTGTTCCATTGCATATTCTTCAGTACATAACATTTTCTTGATCCTGTACACATGTATTTGTAACAAATATAAGTAACGTTTGGTATCAAGAGGATGCGAGATGGCTCAGTGATGGAGCATTGATGTTGTAATTGGGAGGTCCCGGACACGAAAGCCAAGTGGATTCATGAGATAAGCCATTAAATCTCATCACCATGTCCCTCGGACAGGAACCAAAGCCATTGGTCCCCTGGTTGCATACTTACAAGCAATCTTTCTTAGAAGTTGAGTAAAGTAATCCATCAAACCAAACAATCATTCAATTTGCATCCTTAATATTGCATGGTGTTTGATTCACGTTTCATTTTTTTTTCTTCACAGCCACAATTCCTCAACCAACTCTCGGAGATCCTTGTAAACCCCACCAATGGTCAAGTGGCCCGCATTGCGGCAGGTCTACAGCTGAAGAACGCTCTCACATCAAAAGATCCCAATGTTCGCCTTCAGTATCAACACAGGTGGTTAGCACTCGCATTGGATGTCAGGACCAATATCAAGAGACAGGTACAAATGCATTTATTGTTTATAATGTGCCAGTTTGATTCTTCTGTAGTTTCATTGGTTTTATTTAGGGTAAAACACCTTACTGTGATAACCGTCTACCAATCAAACTATAGTTAGTTAAATCAGCTTTTAGGAACTTCCTTCCAGCGCTCAAGAATGTCCAGTTCTGGTAACATGGACAATTTTATGACTTAACGTTTTGTTAATGTTTGGGTTGATGAGGGAAGGCTTTTCCATTTGTAATGTGTTGTATTTTTGAATAGTCTTGGCAATGCAAATTTTTACTATATAGAAAATATAATCATAAAGTTTGCCTGTTAAAGTGAGAATTTGTGTAAATACTTCAGGTTTGCATTGCTGTGTAAACATAGGGAAGCACCATTTAGGGTTACGGTTGTGCTGCTTAGAGTGCTGGCTATAGCCTCTTAAATATATTCTTTTTCTTTTTCTTGTCAGGTTTTGCTCACATTAGGTACAGAGGTCCACAGACCCAGCTCAGCAGCACAGTGTATAGCAGGGATAGCATGTACCGAGCTGCCCGCAGAGTTGTGGCCAGAGCTGTTGCCGCAGCTGGTCAGCAACGTCCTGAACCCCGCTCAAGACACAGACCTCCTCAAAGAGAGCTCCCTAGAAGCTATCGGATACATCTGTCAAGATATTGTAAGTACGATCAGGACAATTTGGCATGGAAGGAACTCTGAAATTCTGGAAGTTGTCCAGATTCTCAAAAGTTTCATGCAATGAATTTGAATCGTGACATTTAATTTTGCAATCCCAAAAGAGTTTGGCGTTGGAGATGTCCATCAGTAACACTTTTTATATGATTCTAATCTTAAAATAATTTTTTTTAAATGTTATAGATTTTTTATTTTGACTAATCCTTGTATTACAAGAAGAAGCCGTCATTCCAAGAGATCACGATTCATATGAGGCAATAAACATTTACAATCCAGTTCTTTATAAATGTCAATTGCTGTATTAATTTACGTTATGTTTATATCTTTGCTTTGTGTCTAGGAACTGAAATTTGTAGGAGCGAATTCAAATGAAATCCTGACGGCCATCGTCCAAGGCATGCGCAAAGAAGAATCAAAGTAAGTTCATCATCTTCTTTCCTCTTTTCAACATTTAAAAAATGTTGTTGCTATATCTGTAATTATCAACTTACTGAAAGAGTGAAAAGGAGTATATTTGTCATTGGTTTTATGACCAATGATACTAATACCCCCCTGAATTTGAAGCACTGAATTAAATGAAGTTTGAAAGTAATGAAAAGGAGTAAGCAAGATAAAGAGAGATTTATTTGAGTAGTGAGTGTTAGAAAGAAGAAACGTAAAAGACATTGATATGGAGGAAGATCTTATTCAAGGGAAAATAGCAAGGTGTCAGGGAGCAGTAGGGTTTCATTTGTTCGTTTGTGTGGTTGTCAACTTCTGTCAAGATCAATCATAAGGGAAGGATGCTTGAAAGCCAATCTACTCTGTTATTGTCAGGTTCTTTCAAGCATTCAGAAGTGTTGGGAGCCTTGTGGATGTTGAGACTGGAGACTAAATGTGTGATCGTCTAGGTTTTCGCTGCATTCACAAGAGTCGGATGGCTCAACTCCTATTTTGTGGAGACATTTCTTTGTGCGGCCAATGCTCGATTTGAGTCTTTTCAGGTTCACCCAAAGCCTGCAGGGAGATTACAGCCAGGGCGCTTGCTTGAAGGGCTAGTGATTCGTGATTAATATCACATGTGAATTGAAGTTAATTTGTCTTAATTGTGATACCTGACCATCTGTATTCTTTGTCTGATCTTCCTGCAGTATGCATGTCAAGTTGGCCGCTACAAACGCATTGCTGAATTCATTGGAAATTACAAAAGCCAACTTTGAAAAAAATGTAAGTATGATTTTTGTGGGATATCCATTTTTATTTTGTCTTGATTTGAAAGGTAATGAGTTTTTTTAAATTATTAATATCTCAAGAAACATTAGATTACTTTTCTTGAGATATTTTAAAATTTCTTTGCACCTGTGTCCATGGTCTGAGAGGCATTGCGTTTTGGAATCATTTATTATTGGCGACATTGTATTTGAGCAATGATAGATAATTGCCAAAGGGATGGGTAAACAAACTAGGCTTTCGCCTTTTGATCATAAGAGGGTTAAAGATCGGAGGTTCATATCGGGAAGAAAACCTGCGTACAAAATCATGTTGAAATAACCAAGAGTATTGTTAATGGGCTTTAAACAGCATGAGGCTAGAGCCAGGGATGGTTGCAAAGAGGTATCTAAGTTACAAGTGGATCTCAAGGTTGCATACTAGACCCTCAAATTGAAGATGGTGCTGGTGCATAAGGATCCCCATAAGTTTGTTGGTAAAAACTCCCATAAATGGAGGTTTGTGCAGAGCCAAGTCTAAGTATTGACCTCCATTGACCCCTACATTTTCTCTGACTTCATCTTTGCTATCACACTCTGGGGCCCTCTAAAGTTGTGTATTAGAAGCATGGAAACATAACTTTGTATGTATGCTTCTAAGAAAAGTCTTAAAATCAATGCAGTATAGCTTTTCATCAGAATGTCTTTTTTGCTATTTGTACAGACTGAGAGGCATGTCATCATGCAGGTTGTTTGCGAGGCTACGCAAGTCAAAGATACACAGGTCCGTGTTGCTGCCCTCCAGTGTCTCGTCAAGATCATGTCACTCTACTACGTTCACATGGAAGACTACATGGGCAGCGCCCTCTTTGCTGTGAGTAATCCTAAGCTCAGAAATGTGATGGTGAACTCCTCTGGGTGATCAAAAGTGCAGGCATAATATAGATATATCGACTGCTATGAGAGGCTTGGCTGTTTTATAGGCTTAAGGGAATCTCACTCATGAATTTATTGACCGTTACTGACATTGTTCGTTTCTTTACGGGAATGGCTTAAATCACGCCTCCAATTTTGACCAATCAGATGGCTAGTTTCTAAAGAGAGGTATATAATTTTGACTATTGCCTGATACCTCAAGAGTCTTATCTGTTGACTATTAAATTTAAAGGGTTATATCTATAAATAAGGCCTTCAAATGATCTCTTCTAAAATGTCCGCCCCTTTAAGTAAGTCAGGGGCAGGTGGTGGAGGTGTAAATCTAAGTATTCAGATCGCTGAAAAACAAGTGTTAAATATAATTTTGTATTACATGAGCAGCTGAATGATAGCAAGGTATTGCATTCTCCCTCTTTCTTTTGTAGATCACGATAGACGCCATGAAGAGTGATATAGATGAAGTCCGGCTGCAAGGAATCGAGTTCTGGTCAAACGTTTGTGATGAGGAGATGGACCTTGCAATAGAGGCTTCAGAGGTATTGTGCATATTCCAGTGTGATATACTATACAATTATACGCCACCTTTAGAGACTGTAGTTAGAGTCTGTTGGGTTGAGGTGACTGGAAGAACACTACACAATCACCTTTACTAGTACCTTGTATATTTCTTTTGTAAACCTGACCTGTACATTGATCTTTACTGCATTTGTTAAGTCAAAAAGATATACATGTTTTGAAGAAGAAAAAGGACCTAATCAGTTGCCCATGTTTAACAAGTGGAGTCAGGAAAAGGACATTACTTAAAGCCAACCAACAGAATCCCATTCATGCTTCAACTATTGCATCCCATACATGCTTCAACTATTGCATCAGGGTGTAAAGCAGAGCATGTAATTTGGTTTTCTGCCAAAGCAGCCAATTTTTGCAAGGCAGTCATTTGGCTGGCTGTACAACTATGGAAAATAGTTTTAAGTTTTGAGGCATGATTGATTTGAATTAATCAACTTACTGTATAAAAAAGAATCTTGGTAGGTGCTATAGAAAGATACGATACAAAATTAATATAGAATTGATAGGAATTACTAATAGATGGTCCTATTCTCTCATTTCTACTGTATGTTTCTTTCACCCAACAGGCCGAGGAGATGAACAGAGCACCTGAACACACAAGTAAATTCTATGCTAAAGGAGCTTTGGAGTACTTGGTGGATATCCTTGTCATGACCTTGACATCACAGGTAGGTTAGGAGGACCCTGAAACCTGCATTAATGGCCACCTCAGTTCAAATCATTTTTTTTTTAACCCATAAAACCCATAGAAACATGTACAAGTAAACCCCCGCAACCCCAACAAAAACTTTGCTTTACAATTTTCTCATGAACGGGCTAGCGGTAGTGTCGAGTTTTTGTGAAAATCTGATCTTTTAGGATGCTCAGTCTGTTTTTTTGTGTCAAGAGGTTGGCATCTCTGCCTCATGGTGACCATTTGGTAAGAATACTCCCCTGGCAGTGGTGAATAAACCCGATGACCAGGGTAATAATATCTGGAAAGAACCTTGAGATGGTATTCAGCGTATTAATCGCTATATAAATCCAGATTATTATAATTATTCTGTTATTGATTTTGTTTCTCCATCACAGCAAGATGAAAATGACGATGAAGATGAGTGGAATCCCTGCAAAGCCGCCGGTGTATGTCTGATGCTCCTAGCCAACTGCTGTGAGGATGATATCGTCTCCCATGCTGTACCCTTCATCCACAATCACATCCGATCAGATAACTGGCAATACAGAGATGCCGCTGTCATGGCGTTTGGTATGTCCTAGAAGCCAACTTTTCTTGTCTCACTGTGGTTGCAATAGACCATAGATTTTGCAATAGTTGCAATAGACCCAGAATATCCACTGATCTTTTACTCATGGATAGTTCCATTTTGTGCAGTTTAGAATAATCACTGCCAGAGTCATGGTTGTGCTTCATGAATACCTTTTGTTTATCCTCTTGAGAAGAATACTTCCACCTGTGTTTCATAGAATGTACCATCAGTACATAAATGAATAATGATTAAATAGCTTCCATGAGCACGTATCTAGTATTCGTCTCCCTGTGTTTAACCATTTTGGTAAAAACAACCTTTACATGCCCATTCGCAGATTTTATCTATGAACTGGCTGAGTAATTAATAAATTAATGAATAATGTTCTACGACAAATGCTCCCCCCAGAAAAATGCTCTTATGGGGCTACCCTGGGTAAACGGGACATAATACCATTATTATTATAATCATGATAATGATTATTATGATGGTGATGATTATTATGATGATGATGATTATTATGATGACGATGATGATTTTTATTATCCCCACTTTTAGGTTCCATCCTGGAGGGTCCTAATGAGACTCTTCTCAACCCCCTGGTCATGCAAGCCTTCCCCGTCCTCATCGAGCTTCTCGCTGACCCCTGTGTCATCGTCAGGGATACGGTTGCCTGGACGCTGGGTCGTATCTGTGAACTCCTCCCCCAGGCCGTCCTGGAGCAGCCATACTTTGACAGCTTGCTAGTGGCTCTCATCGAGTGCTTGGGAAACGAGCCCAGAGTCGCTGCCAATGTTTGCTGGGTAAGAAGTTGAGAGATGTAGGGTTCAAGGGCAATCCAACCTTCCAACCATTTGAATTAGTTCAACAATTCAACAACTTCACCTTATTGATAGTAATACACATAGTTATGTTTATATCTTGTACATTAATTGGAATGAAGATCCAAGTCTAAATATCATTTTAAAGCCATTACTGTTCAATCAACATTACTCTTCTTTTATGTAATGATCTTATCATTATTCTTTACATTGTATGATTTTCACAAACTGTCATTATTTAGTGTTAATACATTCAATTCAATTAATTCAATTAATGAATAAAGAATACCAGAGAAATAGAGTGGTGAAAGTTTAAAATAAATATGAACAAACATTGAGAAAAATTATGAACTTCAGAATTTGTAATGGCTACACATATGGATATCTCAAATCAGTGAATTAGTCATTTGAAATGTATTTGCTGGTGACAGTTTGGGTTGCATTTTATTGCAATATAAAGCAGGTTTTTCCATCGTCCTGTTTGACAAGTGATCTATCTTCTGTTTCAGGCGTTTTCAAGTCTAGCAGAGAATGCATATGAGTCGGCATCAGTGGAGCCCGACAAAGAGCCCGAAACATACTGTTTGTCAAAAGCATTTGAAGTCATTGTCAAGAAACTACTAGAAACAACAGACAGGTGAGGTTCATTGTGAAATAAAGGCCCCAATCTTATTATCATTGTATCAGTTTGGAGAAAAATCATAGTTGGAAGTATCTCCTGAAAAGCAATGTTCCTCATGATGAGGAATAGCTAAAAAGTTTCGACCAAATATTATGCCAGGTTTGTTTGTAGTCCTGTGATTTTAAACCAAGATTGAGTCCATTTATTATCATTTTAATCATTCTCAAACTTCAAGGCATACATTAATCCACATGTACTTCATGTACTACATGATCGGCCTTCTCACGTTGCTTCCAGAGATTTTTAAGTTTATCTTCAAAGGTATAAACATGTTCTGGTCATGCGATTGCATTGTGAAAGAAACATTGTGGAATCGATCAGAACAGGTTGATCATCTAGCATATAAGTATTGGTGTGTACTTCAAGGTAACCATATAAGTTGGGGCTCTGATCGGAGCGACACCCTCACACCTATGATCGGTATCGGATCGGAAGATCGACAACAACAAAAAATCGGCTGATTTTTTTTTTTTTTTTTTTTTTTTTTTTTAATGACGAAAATTTTCAAGGTTTTGGCTATCAAATGCTCAAAAAAAATTCATGACTGGGATTATTTTGTCATTTGGAGTTGTTGTAGACCATGTTTGTTGATATTTAGTGCCTTTTCATGACTTTGAAATTAATAATATTGGTCTAAGAGAAGAGGCAAAACATGGGGCCGCCATCTTGGATTATAATGTAGGCATGCATTATTTTCGGCCGATTTTTTTCCGATCATTTTTATTGATCGGCGATCGAAAATTATTATCCGGTCACCCCTGATCGGATCGTTATCGGCGTCCGATCCGATGATCGTTTACAGGGTTACTTCAAGGTTCTTGAATCATCAAAATGATAAGAAATTTGGCCCTTTCTTGGTAAATTTATAAGCACTGTACACAGAAAGATGTATATGGGACTAGACGAACATGTGGCATAAAAATCTGTCCCAATTTTTATGCTGTTACATGCCAAATTTGGAATATTAAGGCATTTGAAGAGCCATACTTTTCAGGGAACATGTTTTATCTGATGTTCTTCCACACTTGCATAATAACAATGATAAATCTCACAAATTTTTTTTACCTCTTCCCATAACTCAACCTTCTCTTTAACATATGAATCTACCAATGTTCTTTTTTGCAGAACCGACGCCCATCAAGCCAACTTGAGGAGCGCAGCCTATGAAGCCCTGATGGAGATGGTGAAGAACTCGGCCACTGATTGCTACAGGCATGTCTTGGATACCACTAATATCATCCTGCGGAGGATACAGCTCATCCTACAGATGGAGGTGGGTATCCTACTTACATTGCTCTTGTGTTTATGTTTCTTTAAAGCAGGACTGCATTACTTATAGCTACTTGCTCCCTCTATATAGAAAACAATGCCTTATCGGTGCCTGTTGGTTCCCCCATGATCCTCTTTTTCTTATGTTAATTTAGAGCTGAGTTGATGAGATAACCACCTGTCAGTGACCAGCAGGGTGGTCTAATCCCTCCTGGCTAAACTAGTGCAGACAGGCTTTAATCCAGACTTTGTGAAATTATTGATGTATATAAACATCGCACACGCAGCAAACCTCCAGTCCACTTGGAAATTATTTAGAATTGGCTTTGAGAGATGGGAAAGTTTCCAGTCTTGATTTGGGTCAGAAACATGTAAATTATTAATTTTCCTCTTTGTGGAGGAAGTTGTAGAGGGTGTGCACTATATGTTAGTCCTTTCTGTTAAAAACTTAGAGTCCACTCTAGGTGATTTATAACATCTGTTGGGTAGATGACCGATTGTTGTCAGCTTTCCCATTAAAACCACAATTGTATTTCTATAACTTGCTCAATACTGACCAGAGATAACTCTGAAAATCAACCTGATCCCACAGCACTACCCTTGTTTTCAATGATTCTTTATCCAGAAAATGTAAGATCTTTTGATATAGGGTACATACTTGTATACTATTTAGTTTATTAATGTAATGATTCTGCCTCTCTGTTTTCAGTCACATGTGCTGACTGCTTCAGACAGAACACAGTACAATGATCTTCAGAGTCTACTTTGTGCCACACTACAGGTGAGTAGTAAGAATGTCCTACAATCTTTTAAATATGAAACCACCTCAAGGGATTGAACCCCATGGCTGAGTGTGGCCGCTTCCTGGCTTGATCTGCGTCACGTCTGATAATAATATGTGAAGCCACGGTGGTGTAGATTGGCACAGAACATGGTTTAACCTGAACGAACTTAACAGATGTTCTACAGACATGGGGGGGGGGGGGGGCGGGGGGAGGAAGGGGTTATGATTGTCTAATATTCAGATAAGACAGATTACAATTAACAATGACATGACAACAGCTTTTAAACAAAATATAAATATAAATTTTCTGATGGACAAGGGTCACTCAAGATCATGTAATTCCACAACAATACAAGCTATTTTCATAATCTTTTTTGTTAAAATATAAATTAGATTTAAAAATTGCCTGTGAAAGGTATACTTGAGAGTAGAGCTGGAATTTCAGATATCTATTAATTTTTTTGAAACATATATCGAGTGGGAGTTTGTATCGATCTTATATGCATGTGTTGATACATTGTATAGTATTGCTTCAAACATCAAATTTAAGAAGCTTAATTGTTAGTGCCATCCCATTTCGGGTAAGAGGTGTCCTTTTTTTCCACCCAGTCCTACTTGAGAGTTGCTTGTCACATTTGTTGAGCCCTTTAAGACCCAAAACCACACATGTTCATGTACTCGTCTACTTAATGCATTGTCTCTCTTGCTCTCAACAGAGTGTGCTGAGGAAAATGAAGCCCGACGACGCAAACAAGATTTCAGACAATGTGATGAATGCTCTGCTACAGATGTTTGATAACACAAGCGGGAAGTCTGGGGGAGTACAGGAGGATGCTCTGCTCGCTGTCGGCACACTGGTTGAAGGTGAGGGATAAATAGACCCCTACGATTTGAAATATCTTCTATGTCTCTCAGTTAATGAACAATTATTCCTAGCTATCCAAAAAATCTGGATAACCTGGGTAACCAAGCAAGCAGCTAGTCTTTTATATTTTGTCTTGTGTCCAAAAGGCATACCCCTTGGATGGTTGTGTATAAGTGATTGAATTGTAACTAAGTTATAAAAAAAAAACTTCTCAGGTTGTGAGGAGCACTCCACAGTATCCCAAGCTCTCCTCGTCATTTTCCTCTTCAGTGGTTGGCCGTGACTTAATGGAATACATGGAGCTCTTCAAACTTATCCAAACCCTCTATTCCATTTCCTTCTACAGTTATCGGTATTGACTTCCTCAAGTACATGGAGCACTTTACACCATTCCTTTACCTTGGCCTGAAGAACTACCAAGAATACCAGGTCTGCGTGGCTGCCGTAGGTCTGGTGGGCGATATCTGCAGAGCCCTCAACAAAGAGGTCCTTCCTTACTGCCCTCAAATCATGACGCTTCTTCTCGAGAACATTCAGGTAGGTGGCATCTAGTCTACATTGGTTCTTAACTCTGGAGTCATGACTCTGGAATGATTTATGGCTTTGTGAATTGTATCCTGTGACGTTTCGTTTAGAGGTGTTAAAGCCAAGGGAGTGGTTCATCAGTTTCCATGTGCAGAAGGCCATAAATCGCTGACACCAGACTTGGTGAAAATACCATTAATGGGAGTACCCATCTGCACACAGCAAACCCGTAGGCCAATCAAGAATAATCCCCTAGTCTCTCGGAGAGTCTTTGGGTGAGGGAAAAGCAAAGCATTACATAAGGTCTAATGTCCATAAAACTGAAGGCTAATCCCGGTGATTGACAACACCTGTTATTGGGTAAACACCCGAGCGGCGTCGAATTCCCCATGAGAGCTGACTTCTATGTGTCTTTAAGTGGGTACTGGTAGGAAGGAATTCCTTGAATGATTTGAGTACCAATTCGGTAGCCTTGCTAGATCCGGGGTAATATTGGAACACCTTGCATGGTGGATATCTGTGCTATAACAAATATTTGTTTCCCCCCTTTCTTTGGGGCCACTGCACATTTAACAACCTGATTAGCTCTGACTTGAGTTTATTTAAAAATGGCAATAATGCTAGATTTGATGATTTGGAAATGGTAGATTCTCTTTGATTGTGGTCCCAAGTGATCGTCATATGGGTAGTACTTGTGCAATTACATTGTTCTGTAGTGTGGGAGACATGCCCATACCATGAAGGGTGCTTGTACAGATTTGCAACAGTAGGACCAGCGTCTGCAACCCTTGCTGGCCCTGTACTATATCGTAACCTGAGTCTTGTCATCTGAGATGAGTCATGATTAGCTGTGAATCGCAGTGATGTTATACCACTTGCTTAACTTTTTGTTTTTTCTAGTATGGGAAGGCTTCGCTAGTTTTATTCATGTGATCTTTCAGTAGGGTTTTTGAATTTCCTCACCTAAATCTATTTCAATTTTTGTCATAACAGAGTGGAGATTCAGTTGTAAGATTAAACATGTACAAAGTTTCTATAAACCGCATAACAGGCTCTACAAGTTTTCACTTAATTATTTTGTTTTCGTTTACAGAATGACAACGTACACAGAACAGTGAAGCCTCAGATCCTGTCAGTGTTTGGTGATATAGCCCTGGCCATCGGCTCTGATTTCCAGCATTATCTGCAAGTAGTACTCATCACCCTCCAGCAGGCATCCATGGCTGAAATAGAGAAGGTAAGCTAAGAGGGTGGGGCTGGCTTGACTCCAACAGTAGCCTAGATTACAAAACTGTTCCCCCTCCTGAATTCCAACATTTACAACAACAACAACAAAAATACAGGGAGCTGGTACATACACACCCCAAAAATATCAGTCCTGAAATCCAAGACTTTATAGCCTAGAGTCTTCTGCATCTTTTGATAATGGTTTGCCCTTCTCCCCCCCCCCCCCCCCCCCCCATAGAAGAAAAAAAGTTGCCAGTCTCTTGCAACTCCTGGATGATTGGTTAAAAAATAAGGGGAATATCATGTGATTGATTTACGAGTATTATTTATTTTATTTTATCTTTCAGACGGACTTTGACATGATTGATTACCTGAATGACCTTAGGGAAGGCTGTCTTGAAGCCTACACTGGCATCGTACAGGGTCTCAAGGGAGATGATAAGGTTGCAAGTAGTGGTAAGTCAAACCTGCTTTAGGGACCACCTGTATAGAAAGACCACCTGTCTTCAGAGACCACATTTTTTGTTTCTCTTGAAAAACGGTTTCTCGTTGAATCATGTTTTAAAGGAACCTGCCTATAAAGACCACTTTTCTTGTCTCCCTTGGGTGGTCTTTATAGACAGGTTTCACTGTACTACCCTTTGTAGAGGTGTTTTAGTAGGAAAGTTCAAACATTAGACCATTAATGGGGAGGTTGTAGATGAGCTTGAACCTCCATATGGCCCTGTTGTTAAACATTAAATTACATTTGCCATTCTCGACCTAGGTGTAATATGTTCGTAGGATTATTTTGTTTCTTTAATGCTCTGAGCAATAAAAATGGTTTGTTGAGCTCAAGTTGAAATGATAATACTCAAAGCTCTTTGAAAAATCATAGGGATGTAATGATTTATTATCATATGATATGCTTAATTAGAGGGTAGTATTATTGATATACTACATTATTAATGAAGGAGGACCAAACACTAAAATACTTGGAACATGCATTGGCATTTGTAGCATTGAATAGCCCTTTGTTTGACTGTTCATTTGTAGTAAAGGAAGAAATTTAAAAGTGGAAAGTGAATTACCTGTGCATTGCAGGTACCAACATATATCCTTTTATTTTAAGCACAAACAAAATTGTATTCAAATTATCTATGATGAGCATTGTTTGTCAATGCACATGTTTACCATAACTCTGTCACAGCAAATGCATACTAGGGAGAAGCCATTTCCATTAGAATTGTAATGGAATAAGGAAGTCTTGAAGTATTGAAAGTCAAAACTCATCAATCCCTCTCTCTTCCCCTACTTCCTTTCATTAATATCTTTCTATCTTTCTCTCTCTCTCTCTCTCTCTCTCTCTCTTTTTCTCTATCTCTCTCTACCTCTGTCTGTCTGCCTCTCTTCTGCTCTCTTTCTCTTTTCTCTCTCTTTCTCTCTCTCTCTCTTTCTCCCCCCCCCCCTCCGTCACTCTATCTCTTTCTCTCTCTTGCTCTCTCTTGCTCTCTATCTCTCCCCTCTGTCACCCTCTCACTCTATCTCTGTCTCTCTGTCTGTCTTTACAGAGGAAGTCAAGCTTGTGTTCCCCCATGTAAGTCATATGGTGAGCTTCATAGAGCACTTAACCGCTGATGACGACCATACCGATAGTAATGTAGCTGCCTGTGCTGGGCTCATTGGGTAAGTGGAACTTTAACCTTGAAGGGTAGTCTAGTGTTTTTCATGGTAAGATATAACGTTTCAAAACATATGCTGATAAATCATACCAAATGATATTGGGAGCAAGTTTACATGGGTGGTACTAACAGCTCAACAAGAGAATCTACCAAAGAAGTTTAACTGAATGTGCCATATTAGTAAAGAGTGGACCCGTTTCACAAAGCCTCTTTTCAATGACAAATGACAAAAATCAGTGACAAATCCACTAATAACCAATCAGAAGCAAGGATTTCAGTAGCTTATAACAAAAACTGATGAAATGGAGCCATGGTGATTTGGCAAATGTGGTTGGTCTAACTATATCAAGTCAACCAAAAAATTACTTTTTTTTTTACGAGGGCTCTTTTCAGATTTTCCCTTAAAAAAATAGCCCCCCTTAATTATTTTGCGGTGGCTATTTTGGAGCTCAGGGGGGCTTTTTTTTTTAAAGGTTGTATTTTTTTAAACACGGTTTTACCTAATTAAATTCCAAGCAAAGGCAAATATAGATACAATTGTAGTGTACATATGTCATGTAGAGTATTGCAGACATTCAGATACCCATGATTTATTCACTTTGTGTTAAACGTGTGGCTTTATGATTTACATATACATGTACCGGTAACTAAAACTTGTCAAAAGGAGTGTTTTGTTTAACTGTTCGTTTTTCATATCCTAAGAAAATATTATCACTGACACGCGGGCTAGGAATTAATTTTTTTATGGGGGCTACTTTTCCCCATTGCCTACAAAAAACCAAGGGGCTACTTCCTTAAAGCCATATTGCAAGCTGTAACAATAAGTTGTGTTTTTCCTTAGCCATCATACTACTAGCAACCAAATTGGTAGGTAATATGTTATTTAGTCTTTTTTTCTGTCCCAAATTTAATTGTTATCATGGACAATGCAATCCCATTTAAAAAAAATGTAGACCAACTCCCTTTAAAATTGTGTTATTTAGACCATTTATAACCATTAAATGTGAGTAAATATTTTTACTGTTGTCCCACATACCGATGTAGGGTCTATTTGTTATGCCGAAACATGCAAAATCATGGCCTTATTTTTTTTTTATAGACTCTAATTCTAAAGGCCAAGCCAAAGCTAGTTTCATTTCGTAGACAGAAATTGATGTCATCATCACTCATGACAATTGGCCTGGCATCGATCGTATATAAATAATTTTATTTAATTAAACAGTTGTAAGAAAAATTCTGAGGAGTAGGAACATCCTTTATATATTTATTTACGTTTTTTTTTATAACAAAATTCAATTTCTGTGTACGAAACTTGCTTAATACCGATTTTACAGGAAAAAATCCGGCATTGATTTTGCACGTTTCGTTATTAAAAATATATCAGTATGTGGGACAACAGTAAAAATATACTCGCATTTAATGGTTTTAACTTATAAATAACACAATTTTAGACGAAATAACACAATTTTAGACGGAATAACATTTTTTTTAATGGGATTGCATTGTCCATGATAAAAATTAGGGCCAGAAAAAAGACTAAATAAACATATTACGTACCAATTTGGTCGCTAGCAGTTCAGCTCTCGTCACTCGCAAATACTTATTTGCTTCATACTAGGAGCGTGCGGGCGCGCGCTGGAGCTGAGCTAGTACGTTTCTGTGTATTGTGAAAGTGTGCGAACTGCGTATGCATTGATCATGCTGTGCACGAAACTACATCGGAGCCGGTGGCCTGTCCGGCCGCCGGGAGCTTAGGCGCAGGCAGGCGGATACCGCTGTAGATCTAGCTACAGTAGGTACGGCCGCCGATCCGCTGCAACTCACAAAACTTTTAAAATGTTGATGGAAGTTTCTAGTTTTGGAGTTGGTAGTTGGAACGGAGATTTCACTCAGACACATCAATAAATTGGTTTATTAATTCATAGGGAATATTAATTTATGGCGGGGGCGATTTTTCAAGATATATTGATTTTTTTTCGCCCTCGTCTTGATTTTTACCGTGGCGATTTCAGAGGTTTAGGGGGCGAATCGCCCGTCGCCACCGTGTATTTTTTTCGTTGTATCAAGTGATAAACGACAGTGGGAAATTGAGCTAGAAGTTAGAACAGTATGCATAGTAAATATCCTTGTGTATATATCCATCTGTTGTTTTTTAGGGAAAGTGATTTACATCAGAATTTGTTGTTCATTTGTTGTGTGTGTTTTGCTTGCCCAATTAACCGAATGATCAATAATTCAAAATTACATTCAGGCAGTTACTCTTCAAATTCAAATTGGTGACCAGGACAGAGATTAGCTGTAACCCTTCAAGTGAAAACAATTCTCACGATTAATTAACCCACTCCATCCTTTACTTGATCAGGGATCTATGCGCCGCCTTTGGGACCGAGATGCTAGGCTTCCTAGAGCAGAAAGTCATCCAAGAGCTGCTAACGGAGGGTCGGAGGTCAAAGGTCATGAAGACCAAGACGCTAGCTACCTGGGCAACCAAAGAGATCAGGAAACTAAGAACCACACTGGATAATAAACCTCAGTGAAAACAAGGTAATAGAGCACATTTTCACAGTACACAACTTAAGATAGTTCTAATAGTTTGCGATATAGGTGAAATGTGCCTGTCAGGGCCAGGGTTTGGATTTATGTCTCCCTCTTGTAGTAGCTCATCTAGTATTTCAAGCTGAAAGATGGCATCACTTCTCTTGGGGATATATGTGTTCTGCTGCTGAAAGGCTGATGAAAAAAGAGATGAATGGTTCTCTTTCCATTGTAATGTTCAGGTCTGTTCAAATGAGAAAGAAAATATATGTCAAAGCAGTAATTCCAAGTAAAGAGCTGGTCAACTATGATGATAACTGGAAAAAAATGTCTGTCTAGAAAGGTTGTTGAATTGAACTGAATGTGGAAGGCTTATAAACATAAATCTGTGAGCTCCAATATGTTTTCTGTATAACTTGATTTTATCATCATTACTATCATTAGCTTTAATGACATGTGAAGAGCCTAGTCAAGGTTTACGGTACTTCCTAAGTAACAATTTCGTGTATGCTTTAATGCATGGTAAGTCTTTTGGCTGTTCCCACTTTCCCCATATATCATTATCATTTTTTTTCTGCCGAAAAATTACAGAGCCCGAAAGTTAGCGTAATACAAGTAATATAACCAGCATTTCTGGGGATGTATAGTGATCTTTTATTGTGTTTTTATCATGCACTCTTTCGTGGTTCTGCCTCTTTCATTAGACCCGTCTTTTCTTTCATATTTTTGTCTTTGTTTCTAGCTGTGCAGCAAGCCCCAATAAGCTGTTTCCATGGCAACCATGCACTCCATGATGGACGGGACCCCCGATAGGATTGACCAATCATGGGACTACGCCTTCATTCTTGCATCTGATTCCACGTAATTCAAGTAAAAAGAAAAAAAGTCACTAATCAAAGCAACAAAACAAAATCCAAAGCTGCTTTGGAGAAACATTCATCTTAATCAAACCACGCCCACTATGAGAGGGGTGACGTGAGAGGTGTGTGAGAGAGGGCGCTGTTTGATGTGAAGCAGTGGGAGAGAGAGCGAGCCTTAATCAAACTACGCCCACTATGAGAGGGGTGACGTGAGAGATGTGTGAGAGGGAGAGGGTGCTGTTTGATGTGAAGCAGTGGGAGAGAGAGCGAGCGACGCCCACTATGAGAGGGGTGACGTGAGAGGTGTGTGAGAAAGGGTGCTGTTTGATGTGAAGCGGTGGGAGAGAGAAAGAGCGAGAATGAGTCGAGTGCATGTAGTAGAGATTGTGTCTTTCAGCGTTTCGAGACACAGTGTGTGTATGTGTGTGTGAGATCGCATTCAGTGTAATGCAATGATGCGTCAATATCATCAAATAGAAATCACAAATAAAGAAAAGAAAGAAAGGGAAAAGAAAACCAGTACTCTTCTTGCAGATTTGTTCTCAGGATCTTTTTTTTTTTTCCTTTATTTTTTTTCCTTGGTGTATTTCAAGACAAATTTTCTGTAAATGGAACATAGACAAACCATTTCTTAATTTAAAACTTCCACCATCTTACAAGTTTATTTAATAATCTTTATGATTTAAAATTCTTTAAGGATCAAATTGAAAAGATATGTTAGTGATTTCATAAGATACTTGTTTAGATTTTCTCTTTTTTTATTGTATAGTACAAATTCCATGCCTTCCATTGTAATATGAGTGTTCATTCTTATGTTAGAAAATGAATACGACTTTGGCGTTTTCTACTCGCAATATTTCTGCCAAAAAAGAGAATTGGAGGTGTAGACAAATATGTTGGAAACTAAATTGCCCTCCAAAAGGTTTAAATGATGTATTGGTATATTTGTGATTACTTTTAAGAAGTTGTGATATTTAGCATATTCTTTGACAATATTCAATCAATGAATCGATTTCTGGATTGATTGAATGATATCCTAAGTCTACTTAGAAGGGAAAAAAAAATGCCACCGAATAACTGTTAATGTCTTTGGCTAAAGAACAATTAATCTGATAGCAGTGCATTGGCAAGGAATCCTATGTGTCGTATAAGAACTCTTTATAGTTTCATATGGTGACTTTAAAATATGTGCGTTATTTTGTTGCATTTTTCCCCGTTATATCACCGTCCTTCCTTTTTGTTGTTGTTATAAAACGATTGAATGCCATATTTTGGATATTCCTTGAATACTCATTACTATTTAAATTTTCCATTTGATGGAAAGTAATGGTATTAAGGGTTCTATTTAACAGTTTTGACATGATTGTGTAAGTCATTGCATTTTTAAAAACAATTTATCCTAGAATGTCAGATTAAACATACCTGAAATTTTGAAGAAAAATTTAATGTGATTTAGTTGAAATTGAAATATTCACTTTAAAAAAGAATGAGAATTTCAATTGTTACACTGTACCAAATATCTGAAATTATGTAGGGTAGTAACTCTCTACCTTAAAGTAATTTCCCCAAATGTATTTCCTAAAGTAAATACCTTTTCCTTCTATTTATAAGAAAACAAATTGCTATGCTGCCTAGAAATAAATTGCTTCAGTAGGAAATTAAATAGGAAACAAAATTTAGATGAATAGAGTAGATTCTGTGTTTGAAAAACTACAAATTATAGGAAGAATACAAAGAGTATGTTGGTCAAAGTTAAATTACAAATATCATAATCCAATTAAATATATATATATATATAAAACATCTTCACCTTCTTTCAAAGAAATTAGGATATATGCGATATGACATAACGTCGGTGGGGTGACAAAACTTTGTATCTCAATTTTTTGAGATTTAGATTTTTTTGCATAATTGTGTACCTAATGGCCTACGACACCACCTGATAAATCCATGAAACGCCTCCTGTCTCGTTTTTTTTCACAAATTCCACACAAAGGACGGTGTCACACCACTAAGTCTGCTGAGACAGGAAATGTTTTTACGCTCTCCTGAAAATTCATGATTTTTGAGATACAAGGTTTTGTCACCACACCGACGATAAGTTTGGCTTTCTTAAATATTGAAAATATAGTGTCTTTTCGTATATTTCTGGTTTAAAATAATAGAAATGTACTATTATTTGGAGAAGGTTTCCTAAAGATGTAGATGTGCTTATGAAAGTGAAGGGAGTTGAAAAATGAGGAATAAAAGATGTGTAAGCTTGAATGAGTGTGTATGCGGGTGAATGTGAAAGCCCTCTTGTGGAGGATAAAAAAAAAGATACTAAATGCATCTTTCTTTCCAGCTTTTAATATGGTCATGCCCAAAATGATACTCCCAAATCCGTTTCAAGCCTTATTCTTTCCCACAAGTATTGTTGGGTGGTTGTGCAGAGGTTTTTTACTTGGAAATTATTCTTCTCAATATGTTAATTTTTGTTTTTGAGATGTGTTGGGGGGGGGGGGGGGGTGGGATGGCAATTACCATTGCTTCTTTGCAGTACAAAGCTTTTAAAATCCGACGGTACTTCTCGTGATAAATATTACGTTTCAAAATGTATTCAATTAAGGGTATACTATAATACTAATAATATAAGCCATGACAGAAGGGTTATGTGAGTAACGTGCATACAGATGAAAATTTGATTAATGAAGTTCATATTTTGTTCCTCATCCATTCATTTTTTTTTTGGGGGGGGGTGCAATTTTTCCTTCATGACTATTGATGAAATGTTATTGGCTATTAGCTTGTAGCTGAATTTCTGCGTATTTCAGTGTAATGATAGAAGAGAACATTTCATGAAATGTCCAGTTGTTTAAATACAGATTTAAAGTTTTCATATACATAAGTTGCTTTTTACAACCTTTTGTAGAGTCCAGCTTTCTTTCAAGTTTATTTGTTTTATTCTTGAGTAGCGAACATCACAGGCCTTTGATTTTTTGGTTGTTTTTTCCTATAAAGTGGGTTTAGCTTTTCTTAGCTCTCACCATTTCTTCTTTAAAACCAGCCCTTACTTAAATAAATGCAAAATGTAGATAGCACAGTCATTTATAAGTGGGGCTACCCTGTAAAGATTGTACTCAGAAAGTGGGTGATTCCATTGTGCTTTACAGGGGTGAGCAGGCAGTGGAAAGCTTGATTGTTTTGAAAATATTGTAATTATATAGACTGACTTTCGAAGTACAACTATAGAAAGACTGGGCCATTCTGGAACTCCTCCCGGTATTTTGAGGCAGCAGAAGGCTTGATCAATTATGGTACTTGACGTCTCTTTCAGAATTGTCTTTATTTATTGAAATATTCAAATTGGCAATGTTTCTGTGAAATTTATAAATATTCCAAAGGAAGACATGCTTTACAGCTGGTTTGTAAGTTGATTAAAAAAGGAGAGGAGAAGAAAAAAAAAGGATACTATGCAAAATACAAAGTCCTACTTGTTGTTCCTGTTTACAAAAATACAGAAGAGTACTATTATGTCTTGTAAAAACTTGTTACTTGTATCTTTGTCTGCTCAAAAAAACTCATAAAAGTGAGGAAATAAAATGGTCCAGTCTTTTGCACGATACATCAGAAGAAAAATACAAGGAATTGATGTAATAGAGACTCACGATCATGCATTTGTTACTGCATTGATATTTTTTGGGGTGTATTATGATGTGAAAACTTATTTTATTGCGTTTCTTAGAAATGTATGGTTCAGATGCTTTTGTTACGACAAAGGAGTGTTCTGAAAAATTCCTTTTGTTGAAGAATTCCAAGCTTACAAAGAGCCTTTATTTTCAAGTATGAAGTAATTCATGAAAGGAAATCAAATATTACATTGGACATTGTGGTTGAAACATTTAGCTACTAGTCTGTTTAATTTGTGACTTTTTTGCGTTGTATAAAAACATGAGTTATACAGTCAGAAGTAAGAAAATGAATACTTAAGTATTTTCTATCTTTTTTCATTAAAATCATCTTGCTTTTATTTCAAAAATGTAAAATCTTATATATTGGGCATTTTCATGAACATTTCTTTCATACTAAAAAAATTATGTTTTGTCAAATCTGAAAACCAAATTTCGTGTTTGATGTCAGTGTTTTCCATGCAAGTTTTGAAAGCAATTGAAACCTTGCATTCAGCCTAAAAAAAGATTAATATAGAACTAAGGATTTCATTATTTTGTTATGGCTCTGCTTATTTTCCTCCTTTTCTACAAATGATTGTATCCCAATGCATAGTCACATGGCAGGTGAATCGAGCAAGTTTCCATTATATTTAAATCGATTCTGCTAATTTTGTTCCATGATTGTTGTAGGTGACCAGTTACAATTAATTTTTAATTGCCACGATTGTCAAATTCCATTGACGTATTCTTAGAAATGTTATATTTGAAATTACTTATTTTTAATTTTCTGTAATTCCACAAATTCCAAATCATATTTGCTTGTGATAATGTAGGAAACGTTCATGAAAATGCTCAACATACATGTACTAAAAGAGATAGATTAACAAAATCCAAGTGATTAAAAAAATTGAACATTCTGATTTACCATGATGGATGTGTATTTGGCAAGCAGATAGAAAACAAGTTGATTATAATAAAATGAATCAACATTCTACACACGGCTCTGTGTTTACATTGTCTTTATTCCTTGTGTATAGTATTGCATGTGAAAGTTGTGAGATTCCAATTACTTCTCTCCTTCTTAGATAAGACAAGAAAATTGATAACCCATTCTAGATGTGTTGTGGAGGTGTGGTGATATAGTGGTTCATTCACTTGACTTTCCGTCATAGATTTGAGGGTTCAAACCCCGGCCCAGTAGCAAGACATTAATCCTCATTTGCCACATTCCACTCTGGTGTTAAATTGGGTACCCAGTAGGATGTGAAAGTCATTGTACATAAAGTGTGTTAAGCATTGTGAGCATCTGTGCAATGGTGCCTTGGTGGAATGCTCCCCAGGGAGTGGATAATGTGCATACATTGTGTGTGGGCAAGCCTGAACGTGATGACCAGGATAATATAAGAGCTCACAGAAAGACCAAAAATAGGTCTAAGACATTCAACAGTCTGTTATGTCAAAGAAACAAGTTTTATATGTTTTGATTTTAAATCTTCAAAAATAACAATTATCTTGCCATTGTCTTTGAAAACGAGTATAATAATAATAATAATAGTAGTAGGTTCTTGTAAAAAACTTGATTCCTCCCAATTTATGTTTCTTGAGAAAATTCAAGCTTACATCTAAAAGTATTCAACCAGCCCACCATTTCATTCTTGAGTTACAAAAAAATACCCCCCCCCCCCCCCCGAAAAAAAAAAATTGAATTTACAAGGGGTATGAATAACTCAGTTTTTGACTGTACAGGAATTTAGTAGAGGCTTTGCGAAGGATGGTCACATTTGGTCCTTATACTATTAAAATCAGCTCTGAAGCTCATCACTCTGTTCTCACTCACACAGTACACATAGCTCACAACTTATAAATGATGATTATGACAAGTTTCCTTTGTAAACATAAGTTTTTATTGCATAGGTTTCGATCACAAACATTTGTAATCAGAATCCATAAGTCTGACTTCATTTGGACTGTATCAAATGGCATACAAAATGAAAGTACAAGCTTCCGAGACAAATGATGAACTTTGGAGTTTAGTGATTTTTAATAACTTAAATATAAGACCCAAAACAATTAAATACATGATCATATTCAAACATTCAAATTGTACGTAGATTTTCCAATCATTACATGCTACTTTTTATGACATTCAAACGAGAAGTCGTCTTATGGGTACAAAATATGTTGCTGTATTCTCTCATTTTTGTTTTGAAAAGGATAAAGACTATCTAGACCAAAATGTAACATGTACTTAGAAGCATCTTCTTGGCTTTTTAGTTAACTAAACAGGAAATTGATACACAAAAGAATTGTCAAACACCATTAAAATCTGCAACAAATGAAAACTTGATATTACTGATAAAACAAATATCTACAAAATTTCTAAATGTTTCATAAATAAGATATGAACAGAACAAATAAAAAATAATTTTATCAAAACATAAACGGCACTAATGAATGAGTTGTATGAAAACAAACGTAGAATAGCCTAGGCACCTGGCAAGCAATATTTGTACAAAATACTTCAAAATAATATAAACTAAAAACTTAACATCTAACATTTTAAAAGCGAGATGAGGCAATGTGTCATTTGTTAAAATCTCTAAAACACATTCAATTAAAAAAAAAGGGAAAAGAGAAAGAAAATTAAAATTAAATTACCGGTAACAGATTACAAAGTAGTTATTAGTCCACAGCTCATCAGGTGACATTGACTGTGAGGGTCGTAATGAGCATATTTCTTGCACGGTCATTTTTTCTGATCCAAGCAACCATGCGTGCAAGTCACATGTACCAATTGTTTGCATTGTCTAAGCCAAGCACATTTGACATGGAAGGCTCAAGAAGGATATAAGGCTATCTATATAACAGATATTGACCGGTAGGGCGTTGTAATATAACATTTTCTGGACAGCAAGGGAGCAACTTTTCCCGAGTAAAAGTATACCCCCTGGGAAAATACAAGTCTTTTGGCAGTCAAAAAATGTTATATTACACACTCTACCAGTCAATATCTGTATACTATTTGTATTTAGGTTTGAAAGTATAAGTGTCCCTGACAATATCACTAAACAGATGTGTCATTTGAGCATCATCTTTAAAAGTACTTTCACAGTATCATCAGCTCATCTATCCAACAAAAGTTCAGTTCTCACTTTTAAGCCCCCACGCGTGCAGCAAAAATTAATTCTACCAACAACTTCTCAGGATTCATGCTACAAACATATAAACAACATTGTATAAGTCCTATGCTACAATGATTTAAGGCATTGGCAAGGCTTCTGTGCCAAATAGATACACTACAGGCTCTTTTCTATGAATGCAGTGTTTAAATGAGCTTTAAAATAAAAATGAAAAGGCAGTAGAGTCAGTTTTCCTGGGAGAGTCAGCATTGCAAAGTCATCGATCTGAGGTTGCGATCTATGTTTGTGTTAGCTTTAAATGCAGCATTTTTGTGCCTGAGATTATTCTGAAATTACACAACATATGAAATGTACATGACTCCTTAAACATCTCGATGGTGAATTAAGTCACATTTTTCAGTGAGCAACAATATTTGTATTATATTTTCGTTCACCTGCTTAACCAACGAGTTCACTTGTCCCATAAACACAAACATTGAAAGATTATAATTCCTTTAGTTGCCCGACTGGATAGGCTTGAGTTTTTGGTTGCCCCAGAGTGGCAAGCGGGCAATTGAGTCTGCAGCAATACTTACGTTACAACTACTTCATAAAAAGCAATGGTGTACAATTTGAAAAAGAAAAGAAAAATATGAGAAAAGCTAAGAGTAAAAAATGTGAGCACAAATATTTGTATTATCAATATAAATATAGCACCAGATTAGGTTTGACTTTTGATAATGCGTCTTAATTTACCTACAGAAACATTTCATATCCAGATATCTACACAATAGCAAACTGACAATCAAATAAGGGGAAAGGGGGTAAAATACTCATGATATTTACAAGGACAATCCTAAAAAGGCAGTAATATCTACTTTCCACAGACTATACAGCTCTTTTCAAGCTACGCATTTTTTCTTTCTCTTTGCAATCTGAAATTAGCACCAAAATTAGTCAAATTTGCGCAATATGTGTCAGCATCCCATACTGAGGTAAATTGAGATCTGCAGATTAAAAAAAAGCAATTTTCATCATGAATCCTACATAATGTGTGGCATAGCTAGCAGACATAGTAAGTATACAAAGCTTCAAGCTAAGATTTATCAAACCTGCTAAAATAAATACATACAATAAATCGCTTTGACATGATCCTTTCTATCAAGTAAAAATGTTAAAACTTTTGCAAATTTTTAGCAAATGCAGTATTGATCCATGTCCTACTTTTCACTGAGTAAAAAATTCTAGTACATGTACAAGAAAAATAATGCCTACCTATTCTGTACAAAAATACCACAGATGCTATTCATATCTTCAATTGGTAATCACAAGATAAATACAAAACTGTTTGTAGTTAGTGACATTTTGAACAAAATGTCACTCAGAAAGACAATGTCATAGATGAGTCAAATTTCTTATTCCATTTCTTGTTCCCCTTTTTAATAGTATGTTATGAGTAATCTGGATCCAACTTCTAAAATCTATAAGAACCTCCACGGTTAAACAAAAAAAGCAAGTCTTCATCACTCATCTATACAATTTTTGTTCAGTTAAAGATAATTTAAAATTCTGGTAATATGACCATTGATAATTCAGAATCAATAAATTAACTTCTTTAGAAAAGTAATTACATTATTCAAACTGAAGTAGGATGAACGTGATGTCCAGCAAGTTTTCATTACTTTTTTAAAATTCTAAATTAACAATTTATACAGAATCAATTAAAGCAACTTTCTTTTGAAATGCAATTCCATAACTAATTCCATATCTTATCCAGAGATTGATCTGAAAAATGGAGAGAACAAGGATAACACCCGTTCAATGTGATCAGTTAACATACCTGTTAAATTGTTTTTGGTTGAGCTGCTTGAAGTATATAAACCTAGAAAATTCCTTCTACACACACTAGAAAACATATTTCTTCCACTTCCATTTTCACACCACCCTCAATTTAATACTTCAGTCTCTCCTTGTGTCTCTATCTTTTCTTATCAACTAAGAATTTCTCTTCTTTTACATCTGGGAAGACAGGAATAGTTCTATGAATCTGTCAATTTGAGAGTTGGATTTACATCAAATTTACAACTCCAAAACTGACATTGCAATCTTTGATAGATTCATCCATCTACATATCACATATAAAACTACATACTGGTATGGAAGACAATTTCAAAGGCCCATAATTGGAAGGATTTTTCAATCATCAGTTTCTGTGATGATTTTCCTCAAATATCACTATTTGTCCTAATTTCAACAAAATGTTATCATTATCATAAAATATTTTGAAATGACATAAATAATTATTTACACTTTTTACTCTAGGAAGTACTTGTCCAGTACAGCAAATCAAGTGTGAGCTAAACTCCAAGAAATATACATTATTTCACACTAAAAATCTTCCTAGTTTGTCATCATTATAGGTTCATCAGTACCCTTCCTGGCATTTTCAAAAATGGCCTTTTTCATAGACTATTAGGAAACACCAACAAATTGTTAAAGAGTTAATGCCATTTCAACATCAGCATTATTGAAATGATTTTCTTGGGTGTGCATGAGGGTTCATCTCGATGCATTTTTAATTTGCAATGTTCTGCTCTCAATTGTGAACAAGTACTTTGCTAAACAGATACCTCAATATTTATAAATCAAACCTGATTTGACTAAACAACAAAGGATGAGTGCAGGATGCAAGTCAGTTGTATTAAACTGCAAATATCTCCATCACATATCTTTTGAATACATCATTAATTATAAATTCACTATGAGGAATTTAATCTAAATCAAAAGATTCAAAGGTAAGATAGAACTCTATACGGAAAGATGATGGTATTTATTTTACTTCCTGGCATTAGGTCGAGCCGTCTGCACACATAGAACAGCAAAGGCGTTGTTACAAGGGAACTCATCTTGTCCTAATAATTTATGATCAGATAAAGGACTAGCTTGACCGCGAGCAAAATGATTTTGTGCTCTCCAGGCTTCACAGAAACTCTCGGCCATTCGCTCACCGTTGGCGTAGGACCCATGCCACATGTACTTATCAGGCCTGAAAGATAAAAGAGAAGGAATACAAATATCACACCATGTAGCTTAATTGCCTTTGTTCATTTTAAATATAAAAAAATAAATGTACAAATTGATTTTCTAATTTATGGTTTTATTTTGATTGCACAATCAAAATTAGATTTAACTGTCATTGGCTGGGAGCTAGAAAGACACTAACTCATCCTTCATCAAAGAGTAAACACCCTTCTGGCTCTCAACAGACAATATGGGGTAAAGGCTTTCAAGACTCTTCTATTCTCAGTCTTTTTGCAGGCATATAGTAAAGTTTAAAAAGAAAAAGAAAACAACAATTATATTGATGTATCACTATATATTATTTAATATTAATGCTTTCAATGAGGCTAGTCATCATCAATGATGCGAATAAATGTAGTATGTACACTGATATTAAGGCTATCAATCATCTGGTTTTGTGTTAAGTTTTATAATTTTTGCATAACACTACAGAAAAATGACTATGGGGAAAATGAGTGTGGTAAAACCAGTCACTCAAAGATAATTACTTTTTGGAGGCACTTCATGATCATTTTGAAGCGCAATTTGTTTAGGGCTTCAATGTTGCACCATATCACAGACACTGATAACACGTAGGTCCATGCATCACAGATTTAACATTGTTAAACGATTGATGCCTTTAATATTCATGAGATTCTCAACAGCTAGTACTCACCATGTTTCATCGGTCATAACATCTTTACCATCGAAGGAGTATATGTGGAAGGAGTCATGGAATGGAGCTTCGTTCTCCGTGCTAAAGATGTCATCCCAAGAATTGAACAAAACTTCTTGCTGTAAGAGAGAGAAATTAAGACAAAGATAGAGAAATGAAATGATGTGATTTTTGCTGCATGCTTTCCTATGCAGACAGATCGACCTTAATTGCTAGAGATGATGGGATATGTCCGTCTGCCTGTATGTGTTTCCCCACCCTTATGAAGATCAAGCAGACAGTGTGACACAGGGGTGGATCCAGTATTTTGTAAAAGAGGGGGCACAATATTCCGACAATTTGCTGACGAGCAATCAAATAAAATTTAAAAAAATTATCAGGTTTTTCTGTTGCCTCCTCGCCCCTATTTAAAAAAATACATAAATAAAGGTCATCAATATTTTTGAGGCATCATCGCAAAAGGGGTGAAGGGGGGGACATCAACTCTTGAACTGAGAGTCAAGTGAATGAACTACTATACCATGACACCGGGGCATAACTGAACATCTACAGAGCAACATATTTGCGAGTTATTAGTCCAGGGGGGTGTTTCACAAAGATCCTAAGTAGAACTTAACTCTAAGTTGGACTTAAAAATTATGGACAGCCATTGGAGTCTTAAAATGAAATATATTCAAAAGCAGAAATTCAAGTATTTTAGAATTTTTATGAATTATACATCCAGAACATGAAATCTCCTTGATGATAGACAATATGAATGATTTGAATAAACAATTAATGCCTTTCAAAATAACTTTTACAAAATATTTTCAAAGATGCTAATGGCTTTCCATAATTTTTAAGTCCAACTTAGAGATAAGTTCAACTTAGGATCTTTGTGAAACACCCCCCCCCCGGCCCTTTAAAGGCTCTTAGTCGTTACCTTTCCGTTAGCGATGGGTAATCCTTTGTCCTGTTTCCTCACTATAGTCCTGATATCTTGCAGAGGGGATGAGAGGAAGGCTCGATACGTTCCTTTGAGTCCTGCTGCCTTCGCTTGTTTCCAGCACTTGAAGTCGGCACCGCTGATTCCGCCAATCATGTATCCCTCTTGGGGTGTATTTAGGGCATACATGTAGAGCTGAAAATCAAAATGAATGGGGGTTGAATAATTCTTCTTCTTCTTCGTTTGGTATTATAAATGGCTATTAGTCCAGTTTGTCTATTGTTGCCAATTTCATCGCATCTCTTTGTCTTAATGTCTTGGTAAAATTAATTTTTAATATAATTTTAAGTCATAGTCTACCCAGTTTTATGTAACAAACTGGAATAATATTTCAAATTAAACCAAGATTGTGTGATTATGGTGTAGTTAAGTTCAAATTCATTATAAGAACAGGGTTACTGCATTTGTTACAGAAATGAATTCCATAACTTTTCCATTGCTATATATCATGCTTAATTTTTTTCTTCAAATCCATGACATTTTTTCTTGGCAAAGTCATACAAAATTGGGAGCTTGTACAACACCTCTAGCCTAATGACCATTTCATTATTACATGTATAATATCAATAAATATTCTTTATTAAAAATAATTCCCACAATTTTTTCACAATTTTTCCATTATTTCATGCAGGAAATCAGGACATATATATATATATGCATCCCTGAGAATGTTCCAAACTTGACCTGATTTGTCCAGGTCTTCCATGGCCGCGGGAACCCTGTCCTGTAAGATATTGAAAAGTTCTTTAAATCAAACATTGCGTTATTAAGCATTTCATTGTAGGAATCTGTAGAACATAATATTTTTGCTCACCATAGGTTGGTCTGATACAGGTATTTCTGGTCCTGGAAGGATAGGCTCCTCTGTTCTATCTGTTAGTCCTGGACCTGGGATCTGAGGAGGCTCGGTTGGATCCACAAATGGTGCAAGCTGTAGGAAAAGCGTTAGTATCAAAACGGCACCAATGAAGTGGACTCTGTACAGATCCAGTGTTTTTCTATATGTAGCTCTACAATTTAAATAGAAACTAAGGTCCCACTCTAATTTATTGCTATTAAATAAAAAGTGATGGTAACAATCTACATCAACCAATGGAGAATGGAAGACCCACATGCAAATATACCAAATGAGAGTCCATATAATAATCATGCAGTTTCTACCCTTACCCCATGAAACATACACCTATATGACACATTTATGAATATATGACAATCTAATGTACACCAATATTGAAATGCTAAATGATGAATTCTGACCTGTCTTCATAGAGAAATAAAGATTCTAATGGCATGATCATAAAAAGAGATTTCCTTTTGACTGAAAGCTTTTGTTTCAAAACTTAAATGTCACCTGCAACTATCTTTCCTACTTGATTTGCTGCATTGGTCTGTGCTTTTTGTTAGGTTCAACTGAAATTCAGGGATAAAATGTGCTGTTATGCAATACCAGGAAGATTAATTTGTAGGGTATCATGAACAGAAATAAATATAGGTCAAATTAAAAATTGCATATTATTTGGAAAGGGAATGATTGAGAAAACCAGTGCATTTAGATACTATAAGTTTGGGGGAGGAATCTGACAAGGCAGTTTGCCAGGGGTATAGATTTTTAAAAAGAAAAGAAAATTTCTAAACAGAATAATGAGAATGAATATATAGTGCACAAGAAATAAACTATAGTATAACTTACAAGCACACTTTGAAATTAAAAATAATATTCACTTGGAAAAAAGAATGTGGTATCTAAACTTTGAAAGAATCAAAGATTAGATATGCAAGATATGATGTAAAATAGGTCACACAAGTAAGTGCACAGATCATAGAAAATGAAAGAAAGAAATGAAATTTGAGAAAAGATAAAAGAAAGATAAGGACAATAAGAAGATTGGGATACTGTACATGTAGCAACTGAAAGAAAGGGAGAGAGAGAAGGTGAGAAAGGAAAGAAGAAACATAAAGAGCTTTCAGAAGGAGACACATGATTATATAAAAGTATGGGGAGCTGCACAAGAGAGAAACCTTTATAAACATGAAGGGAAAGAGAGAAAAAAAGAAAAGAGAGTTAGTGAAGTAGTGAAGTGCAGTAGAGAGCAATATACAGTTGTATATAAAAGGAGGTATATACATATCAAAGAAATGAAAATATAGTTGAAGAAAAAGAGCTAGAAAGATAGAAAAGGTATATATGACATATGAATGTGGTAAATGAGAGAGAGAGAGAGAGAGAGACGCACACACAGAGACAAAGAAAAAAAGAGACAGACAGATGGAATGAGACAGGGAGGAAGAGAGAGAAAGAGAATGTGCTACATATCAGTAGAGAGCAATATATAAAAGGTAAGAAAGGAAAATACGGTTGAAGTGAAAATCTAAAGGAGATATGGAAAAGCTATACATGAGAAATAATTGAGGTAGATGAATAAGAGAGAGAAAGAGAGAAAGGGATAGCATAAGAGTGATGATAAACCATAAGTCTTACAGTGGTGGTAGGTATTAATGTAGTAGTAGTAGTTCTCGATGTAATGGATGGTTGTGGGCGTGGTTGAGGGCGTGGTTGTGGGCGTGGTTCGGAGGTAGGTGGTAAGGTAAAGGTAGCTCCCAGCTGTAGGAAGGAAGAAATTATTACTGTGAAGGCTGCAGGTCAAAGGTCATTATCTACATTTCACTCTTGCCAATTAGATATCCATGTATACTCTCAAAACCAACATAAACATCGTTTGAAAAAATAAATATATCCCAATGTTTAGTTGTACATGTACAATCCACACCCACAAGATATAATTCAAGCCCAATGTTTATAAATATCTCCATTATGGAAAGACAAATGACATACGAGATAAACCCATAAAAAGTCATCTTATACATTTGATCAAATGTTCATGTCAATTTCTTTTTGTATTTTTTCTATGATTTTTATCACTTTTTTCAAAGTACACATTTCTATTTTATCCACTATCAAAAATGTAAGAATTAAACTGCCTCCAATTTCAAAAATCAGGCCAACAGATTTTTATCTTCTTTATTCTGATAAAAACAATCCCTTAAAAAGAAGGATTTTGCAATTCCAAAATGAATATCGATTATGTCCCACATGAAACGAATTTTTACAGACTAGTAAACAGATGCAATTGTATCCATTAACCAATTAGGATACCTGCCCATATATCAACCGATACTTTTGAATTTGGAAGATATCAATTAATATTTACCCTGGACTTGCTGATATGACTATGCAAGAGAAAGAATTGGAATATATAGCAAGAATGGTTTACGACTTGTCTACTTTTGCAACAATTCATCATTCAGACTGATGGTTAGCATAGGGGGAGTAGCTTTCAATCAGAAAAAAAGGCATTTCTCAAAGATAACTAGATGACTTTCATGTTCCAGTACTGCCCACACAGCCACAAAACTTTGAGAATGAAATAAACTCACATAAAAAGATTTGACACACAAAACTAAAATGAAATTTGACATCAAAAGACCAGAGACAGTAAATCTTGCATGCAAACTGACGAGATATTTCAAAGAAAAAATGACAAATGATTCCATCTAAACTTAGAAACATGATAATGATCTACATCACTGGTTTACAGAAGTTACAATCATGCCACGTAATAGCCTGTTGCCTAATGAACTGTAAAACCTCCATGAAACAAAATAAAATATCATATAAGAAAGAATGTGCATTCATTTCAATTGGACTTGTCCAAACTCCTGTCTATTATCATAAGTCAGGGATTGTATGTTGTACATTCCCTAAATGAGTTTATCTAAATATCATTAAAAAAACAAAGTGCATATGCCTATCTATACCACACTCAAAACCAAATCATCGCTTCTGAGTGGGTTTTTATGATTACAAGGAATCTTATTTTTCATTGCTGGACCAATAATCCTATCCAGAATTCTGATCTACATGCATTCCTGTCTATTTAATATACGCCACATTCTTCTCCCTTAACAACATTAGAATAATCATAAGAGAAGTTCCTGGTCCTGGTCTATCTGAGTCCTGGTGTAGTGTCTTACCAGTACTTGTTGCATGCCAGTCTCCACCCTGATGTAGAGTTCCTGGACCCGTATGATGAAGGCCAGAGTGCCCACCTCCAGGTCTCTCATGCCATCTAGCATGTCCTGGATGGTGGCAAACCTGGCCATCTGAAGAAACAAACAAATAGCAAAAAACCTCTTTAAAAAGGGACATAGTTGCAAAAAGTCAAGTAATTCCACTAAGAATGAAGAATTTTTAATTTTTTTTTAGGAATGAAGGGTATTATTATTATAGCGCTTAGAGACATCGGTGGTAAGCGCTTTATAAGTAACGTTTTTATTATTATTATTATTATTATTATTATTATGTATGCATTTCACACCGATGTTTTTAACAAATCAGAGGAATCCAAAGTTTTGAAATATGGTTTGAAGGTCAAAAAAAAAATCATTCTTCCAAATTAGGAATGGTGGCAGGACATACAATTCTTTCAACTTGGATTACTAGTATTCAGTTCTGCTTCAGAACTAGCAACAAACAAACCATACCACTTAACAACATGTACATACAAAAACACAAATGCTATATAATTACAAGGTCCCAGTTGAAACCCAAGTCAATGCTTGAGTTCCCTTTGGTATTGTAATTATTCCCAAATGCTACGTCTCTTGGATAGAACTTGGATATAAAGTCCACTTGTTGCTACTATGCAAGCATTAGATGTTCTTCTTGGCAATCAAGTAAAGTTATCAATGACTTATCAATCAATCAAACATCTCATACTTCTTAAATCATCATTTTCTGGGAAGCAAACTCCTAACATTTAATTCCTGTGCAAGACATTGATCTACATTTGCCACACTCCACCCAGGTGAAGTAAATGGGTACCTGGTAGGAATTTATTACTTGAAATGCTAGAGGGCCATATGGCAGCCGTGCTAAAGCCAGGGTAATTATCGGGAGCACCAGGAGGGTCAAATCTGACTGACATGAGCGCTATACAAGAACCCACTATTATTATTATTATTATTATTATTATATATACTCACCCCTACATAATCTCCACCTCCTAAATGCCCAATGCTTCCTCTCCCAGGCTCACCCGGAGTTCCAGGCTCCCCTGGTGGGCCTTGTTCTCCATAGCCAGTGGGTCCTTGTGGTCCACGTGGGCCCCTAGATCCTGGTCTTCCATCGAACCCTGGGGCACCTGATTGGCCCTCCCTGCCCGGCTCACCAGGCTCACCCTTCGGTCCCTGCAGGAAAGGTCAAAGGTGAAGATTTGAAGAATCAGGGATTGTATCCACATGTACATCAATATGTAAAGCCAAGCACAATAAAGTAAGTTTAACCCTTCCCCCAACACCCCCCTTATCCATCTACTGATATGTTTTGTTGTAAGTATATGTACTTTATACAGTAGGCTTGCGGTTGCACCATGTGAGAGAGAGGGAGGATTGACTCCTGACGACGGTTAGTCAACCTGTTTGAAACGTCGAGCCACTCCCGCCACTCATCCTCTCCAATCGGCGCTATAGTTCTCCTTATAGAACTATAAGCTAAGAACGATAACCAACAGTCTTTTTCAAGACTACACCAACAGTCCTTTTCAAGACTACACACCCTCAAGAAAGATTATGGAGAGTCCTTTTCAGGATTCCTCAATCCTTCCTCTCTCTCTCTCACACATGGTGCAACCGCAAGCCTACTGTATATCTATATCACTATGCAAGCCGATACTTACAAGCAGTATATGTACTTTGTTTAAAAAGGTACAATGAATGATGGAGTGGAACATACCCTTTCACCATTTCCATCTCCAGTGTAGTACGCTGGTTCGCCTGGATGACCGGGCATTCCTGGGGGGCCGGGGGGACCTTGGGAACCATCACGCCCATCTCTACCAGGCATGCCTTCAGCGCCGTGACCTGGTTCACCGGTGTCTCCTTTGATGCTCTGTCCTGGTTGACCCTGAGGAAGAGAGAAAAAGAGAGAGAGAACAAAAAGGAAGATGGTTGAAATGTAGAAGCCAAGCATCTCAAAAAAGGACATGGCAGTCCCTTCCGGAATGTGTCAAAGATGATGTGATGATTGTAAAGAATAATCATTTATAATCAATGCTATATACTAGAACAATGCTTTGAAATGTGCGGGTTGGATATGCAGCTTATTGGAAATTTTTGAAAAATCCAAACTGTTGGTTACATACATTCATTTGTTAATATATTCACTCTTGGTGAATGTAAGGATATATATTACAGGATAAATGACACAATAAAAGTTGATAATACATGAAGATATATATCTCCAAAAAGGTATTTAAAAAAAAAATTGCATAAGAAAGAAAAGGAGAGAAAAAAATGGGTTGAGAGACAAAGAGACACAAGCACAGAAAAAGAGAGAAAGAGAGAGAGAAAGAGAGAGAGAGAAGAAGAAGAAGGAGGAGAAGAAGAAGAAAAAGAAGAAGAAGAAGAAGAAGAAGAGAGAGAGGGAGAGAGAAAACAAAGTTCTGTTCTTTTCTAAATCCTCACTAGGAGCCACATTTTGTTCCCGTTTTGTTCATGATTTAACTTACATCTCTGCCTGGAAGACCTTGTTCCCCTGGTGGTCCAATAAACACCTCGTCATTCACAAAGAAATCTCCTGGATCACCCTATAAAGAAGAAGAAGAAGAAGAATAGTGAATGAAAATCAGTCATGACATCAGTGCTTTGGTCCACTCTAGAGGTTTACATTACTGTCGTCTTCCGGAACGTATCAAGCAGTGGCTTTTCAGTTCAATGGATTCCTGAACTAATTTCTCTTGTGCAGCTTGACTGTGAATATATTCATATACTGATTGGGAATCAAAGATTCCATGTCACCGAAAGGGAGTGGGAAGGACAGTAACAAATCTCTCGCTAAAAGAAAGGTTATTAAAAATACAGTAATACAATTTCTACTCCAGATGGGAAGGAGGTTTTTGGTGGGTACATGTCAATGAAGATCCACTACTGAAAACAGTTAATGCATCATCTTGTTGGGATAAAGCTCATACATACAGTAGAAAGGGGAGTAGGATAAATACATGTATTACACACAAATATCATGTTTACCAGTCTTTCTAACAAAAGGCCACTACTCTTGCTTGATACATATAGATTTACCGTATTCATATTCATGGAGGGGGGAGGGGGGGGGGGTTGATGGGGCTTAGAAAGGGGGTTAACAGGATACATGTATTACCTTTTCTCCCCTCGCTCCATCTATTCCAGGCACTCCTGGTACTCCTTGTGCACCCTGAATTATTAAGAAAAAGGTTCAAACAAGCACCAATCAACAATTAATCAATTAGTTTGTTGCACAATGCACGATAAACAAGCTTACAGGTGTATATATTTCAAAACTTACTTTTTTGTAATTTATGGAGAAAAAAATAAGTATAACTGCCAATTTGTAGATATATCATCTAGATATATTGAAAAACAATCACATTTATATAAAATCACAATACATCTAGTGAGATTTAAAGAAAATTGACAAAACTGACAAATGTCAGAATTGTGACATTATGTCATGTTTTCACCCTTCTATGAGGCATGTGACAATGTAGCCTTGGATCATGGAATACATCAAGACAAGAAAATATCTCCATCTTACCGGTCTTCCTTCCAGTCCCTCAATACCAGGTTCTCCTGCATAACCTTGTAGTCCTCTTAGACCTTGCACGCCAGGTAGACCTTGATAGAGAGAAAACAGCAGGAATAAACATATATGTTAACTGTCATTGGTAGATTAATAATATATCAACGGTAAGGTGGGAGGGGAGGAGAGGAAAATTTATATTTTACATTTCAAGTCTTTGCAAAAGTATAGTAATTTTCTTTGTTTAGCTAGTCATACATGTACCACAATCACCCAATTAAAGGGAGGTGGTAAACCTGTATGCATCTTACAACAAAGTCTGCAAATGTTGACATGCAAGCATAACCCAAACTATTATCATATTTTCAAAGAACTATACTTTTAAATCATTGTGTTAGTTACACTTGGTTTTGATCAAATTCCATGCTACATTCCATCCAGAGAGCTATATATTCACCTAAAGAGTCTGAATCTCATCTGACATTTCTCTCCCCACCTCCTCCTTCTCTTTCTATCTCTTTCTCTCTCTCTCTTTCCCCCTCCCCCACCCTTTCTCTTTCTCCCTGTAATATTCAGTATCACTTCAGATATAGGCTGCTGGTGAAACTTAATCAAAAGTTTTATATCCTTTCATGAGTAAACCCATTGCCTACGGGAACTGAATGGCTCCTGTATAAAGCCTATGGAAATGAGAGAAGTCAGCAATCAAGGGGTTAATGACTGACCTGGAGCTCCAGGCACACCATCAGGACCCATGGGACCAGGAGAACCAGGAGCACCCATGGATCCTTTCTCTCCGGGTGGGAAGAATGCAGGAGGGAAGGCTGCAGGATCACACTCACAGGTACCCTAGGACACAGAGATAGGTAATATATGTTATATGGAACATACAAATTAAAGATAATAAGAACATTTCAGTGTACAAAGTGGAAAAAACTATATGTGAAAACTGTGTGTTCAAAGAAGCATAAATGGAATATGAATATTATATATATAAAAAAAAACATATATAGATTTTTTAAAAGGGAAATATTCAAATTGTAATACACCAAAAGAGAAGTATAATCTTGAAGATGTGAAGGTTACATAAAAGGAAAGATAAAATGATACTTGAGCTACACAATTCACACTTTTAAAAATATACTCATTCATATGAATATTTGACTAGATGCACTAGATGTATTAACAAATATATTAGCACTATCTCCATACCAACAACAACAAAAATAATAATACCACTATGTAAGTAATATATTGTAAGAACTTTTTTGTTGTTGGATATACCACCTAATGGTGAAAACAGTAGATGTACATGTACTTTACATATGTGTAAGAGCACTATATAATTTTTTTTATTATTATTAATAATATGAGTACTTACCTCTCCACCACCAGATGGACCTGGTGGACCTTGTGGTCCCACGGGCCCCTCTGGTCCAGTCTGTCCCTCTGGACCTGTTTTTCCCACGCGACCCTGTACCGAATGGGAGGATCAATAACATACTTTCATTCTCGCTCATTAATAGAAATATTTGATTGAATTTAAGTTGGACCTTCTGTCTCTTCTACTTGCTCACTCGATGGATTGCCAACATCAACAGTTTTGCATATACTGCATATAGCCTCATTATAATCTTGGTAACTATAATAGTTCTATTACATCATCTCACTTTACAAAAAAATACCTCCAACCTTCCTTAGTTAAACCTATGGGTACTGAGCCTGAGATAACCCCAGATGCCATTGGAAATGCAAGTTAGTAGCCATCCGCATAAAATTGAAGAAAAAATAGACATGTTGCCTCTCTTGATAGGTTCAACATGAACAAGACATATATCACCTCAGATGAAAACATGTAAGAGACCAATACTGAGAGGTGGTCTTTATTGAGATATGACCATTAATTGAAGCTTTACTGTATTTGAAAATAAACTGTATCCAACCGGTTAATAGTTCTTTGAGACCAATTAGGACCGTAAACGCATTACTTACAGGTCTTCCTGGGATACCAAACTGGCCTTTAAGTCCTTTCTTTCCTCTCCTTCCTGTATCTCCACCGTCACCCTTCAACATCAGCATCTCCTCCTCTGTAGGTAAGAACATATCACCCTGCAAAGAAGAAAAAAGATCAAAAGTGCTTTATAAATGCATTCTTTAAGCCCCACTGCACTACTTATAGCTACTTGCGCCCTCTATATAGCAAACAACGCCTAATCGTTGCCTGTTGATCCTTCATGATCCCCTTTTTCTTATGATAATTGAGAGCTGATTTGATGAGATAACCACCTGTCAGTGACCTTGCAGGGAGGTCCAATCCCCCATGGCCAAACGAGTGCAGACAGGCTTTAAACTCTTTGATCATCCATAACCGAATCCCATGTCTTCTAATTCAATTTCAGTAAATGTTCATACCAGCTGGCGAGGGGGCACAGTACAAGTGAGTATGGAATGCATTGTTTCAATTTTTGTTCACCAAGGACATTAATCCCTATACTGCTAATACAAATTAATTAGAATGTTCCAAAGGCATTGCAATCTCCTAGGCAGAAATAAGTACAGTTAACAACCAAAAATTATTCATACCCTTAACAAGTTTTGTATTTTTCTAAGTATGTGAAAAATGGATTTTCCCAATGTATGTTTCTTGAGAATGTGACATATTGAAGCTTACATCTAAAAGTATTCATCGAAGGTCCTAATTCAACCAATTCCTCTTTCATTCTTAAAGTTACGGGGGAAAAAAGGGAAAAAAGCACATCAAATTTACAAAGGGTACAAACAATTAAGTTATTAACTGTAAATATCACATTTGTTGTAGAGCTTCTTTCTTTCGAAGTCAAGACATGATGCGCCTTACCTTGTCTCCTTTAACTCCTCTTGGTCCTGCATAACCAACGGCCCCTACGTCTCCTTTCTCTCCTTGGGTACCCTACATTTGAATGATAAAGTTACTTCAGATGATACAGTCCATTTAGATGATACATTTACTTTAGATGGCAAAGTTACTTTAGATGATACCCATTACTTTAGATGATAAGTTAATTAGACGGTAAACTCACTTAAGATGATACATTTACTTTAAATGATAAAGTTACTTGAGATGATAAAGTTACTTAAGATGGTAAAGTTACTTAAGATGGTAACGTTACTTAAGGTGGTAAAGTTACTTAAGGTGGTAAAGTTACTTAAGATGGTAAAGTTACTTCAGATGGTAAAGTTACTTCAGATGATAACGTTACTTCAGATGATAAAGTTACTTAAAATAGTAAAGTTACTTCAGAAGGTAAAGTTACTTAAGATGATTAAGTTACTTTAGATGATAAAATTACTTTGAATGATGAAGTTTCTTTACATGATACAGTCACTTAAAATGATAAAGTCACTTTATGATACATTTACTTTAGATGACAAGGTCAGGTTGGGTTTATAGGCACTGCATGACTACATTATTTCAACTCAAACTTTCTTCTGCATTTGATGGTAGATGAAAGAGAACGGGAGACTCACATTATTTCCTTTAGGTCCTACTACACCGCCAGGTCCTCTAGGCCCAGGATAGCCTTTAGCTCCTTGCTGACCATCCATGCCAGGTACTCCATCAAAACCTATATCACCCTGCAAAAAAAATGATTGGAAGACAAAAATAATTTTCAATATTTGACATATCCCTATAATCCTGTGGACATCAACAGCACAAATGCTACCATAACATAAATGTATGTGTTCAGTGCACATGTATATGTACTCTATCAAATTAAAATTCATCCATTTAAAATAGGTCCCGTATATAACATTTTGCAATATTGCACCCTCTCCCTCCCCGAAATACCAACCTGTAAAGCAAGAAACAAATCAACATACACTCTTATTTCCACGTAGTCAAATTTCACTCTAAATGGCGTCAGCTGGGAGTCAACTCTATTCCTAGTTAAAGTGACACGGATTCCGAATCAATTTGACTCGGATTGTGTGGCATCAGCTGAGAATTGACTCAATTCAGAGTCAAGATGACTCCTTTTCCGTGTCACTTTAACTAGGAATAGAGTTGACTCCCAGCTGACGCCATTCAGAGTGAAATTTGACTCCGTGGAAATAAGAGTGTACATTTTGCATCATTTTACGATGATAGGCTTGTTTTTGTCTGTTCTTATCTGTGTCCTCTCTAACTACTTCTTACACAATGTCTTCAGCCTAATTATGTACACAAGCTCTCTCTTCTTAACAGGGGACAGACAACAACTAGAAGAACATGATTTAAGTTGAAGAACCTCAAGTAAAAATAGGGACAAAAAAAAAGCCACATCAAGGCATCATCACATGTATGTTACCATGGTAACAATCATTATTACCTTCTCTCCCTTTGTACTAGTTAATTCCTGCGGTGCCCTGGTCATCATGCCTCCTCCTATGTCTCCTGAACCCACTCCAGCAAAGTGCTACCAGAAAACAAAAGATAAACATGTGATAGTTATAACATAATTACATGTAATCATATTGACTTAAGGTAAGGAAAAAATATGAATTCTCTGAAATTAAATGAAAGTGATACAAGAATTTTAGATTTGAAAATACATAAAATCAGTATAATGATTTTGGTAGAAACTGCCTAATATCAGATTTATCCACAAAGAAAGATTAGGAAACTGAACTACATATAACAGACCACACTAACGGCAGATTCCAAAGTTATAAAAGGAGGGGGCACAATTCCAAAAATAAAGGAAAAGATCAAAAATTTGAATGGGGATGCGTAAGGTGACACTTTAGAGGAACAAGGTACACCTTAAAAAGGGGGCACGGGCCAATGTGTCCATCTTTATATCCACCAAGGGTCCCAACACACGTGCATAACACAATGTCTTTTTAATATGTGCCAGTATAGGTTGTGCTTTTCAGTAAATGTGATTTCCAAGATTTTTGTGTAAGTTTGTTTCAGTACTAATTATCTGATGCGTGATGACCAAATTTAGAAATAATGATTCAGTGAAGTTACAGTATTCCATTCCGGAGCAGCCACAATCTTTAAACTCATGAGTTTACAAGTAGTTTCACTGTATTAGTATACTGCCACATAATGACTAGTTTCAGGAGCTAGGTCTGCATACCTCAGACAAGGCAAGGATTTCTGGTGGGATTTCACACGCAGGTCCTTGTTCTCCTACATCTCCCTTGAGTCCTTGGATCCCTCTTGGTCCAGGGAGACCACGGTCTCCAGGTGGACCCTGGACCCCTACACCACGTGGTCCGGGAAAACCCTGAATAGAAAAATGAGAAAGAAAATAAGAGGAATTTAATATATCTCTGAATATCAACCAATGCCCGATATTAATATATTATTTGTAATCATCCTTTAAAACCCAGCATAAATATGTTTGAAAATTCCTATAAATATTCCATTTCTTTTCTTCATCTCCTTAAAGATAAAGGTGAGTTCTTGTAATGCGATTGCATTGTGCAAGAAAAGGTGTGGAATGGATCAGAAAAGAAAAGTATTGGTGTGTACTGCAAGGTTCTGGAGTCATCAAAATCATACTAAATTTGGCTAATTACACAGAAAGATGTATATGGGACTACACAAATGGTGCCGGGGCTACTACTGTACCTTGATTTCCTTATCTATTTTTGCTCATTACTCAGCCAGTATACATTTTCTTCCAAAATTGTTTGGCACATGACATTTTGAACATTCAGTGTAAGTTTTGTTTGGTTTATTTTCTTTTTTTACCAGAACTCAAGTTTATCTCATTCTATGAAGAAGAAAAGAAAAATCAGCTATGGACTGATTACATATTTCATGGTATTCATAACCAATCTTTCAAATCTGCAGTGAATTGTTCTATATCCCTCGCAAATTTAGGGGGAAAATTATAATTTTCATCTAATTAAGTAGGAAAATATAAATTGTATATGGTAAATGCACAAGGATATCAGAAGGAAGGGACACAAGTAAATTGTATAATGTAATAAAAATGTATAGGGGAAGAGGGAAGTGAGATGAAGAATGCAGAGGATGAAAGATTGTGAAAGTGAAGGATAAGAATGACTAGGAGGAGAAGATACTTACATCTGCTCCCGGCTGTCCGGGAACTCCAGGATCGCCAGTGTCACCCTTTAAAACAAAACCACACAATTAAATATCATTCAAAGAAATAAAATATATTTCTTATCTCCTTATCTATTTTAGTGTGCAAAATGCAGTAACTCGAATTAAACCAATAATCCAGCAAAAGAAAGGGAAGGTCATATTTTGGAAAGGTACATTTGTCACTCACAGCAATGATTACATTTATGGTACACATTAACTAGATTTACACGCATAGCTGTCTTGGTTCATGATGTTTGGTTCATTGATTAGGTATTCTTCAGTTAACCAAAATACAGTGAGCTCGCAGATGTATTCTTTCACTTTTTGCTCAGTTATAAATATTTTGTCTCTCTCTAAAGATTTATTATAATTTCAAGTTTATTGTCCATACAATAAGTGAAAGGGTTTTTAATTGCAAAGCTGCAAAATTGGCACTCAACGTAATTGTACGTGCACAAGGTATCTCCTTTCATGAAAGTACAAACCTTTTGTCCAGCAGCTCCATCCATACCAGTCTCTCCCTGTGGACAAGGAAAAGATGACAGGCATAAGAGTCAATAGTAATATGATTATACATGTATTGAAAATTAGCATGTGATTTTATTTTATCACAGGATTTATTAGCAAAGTATCCATAACAATAGTAATGTCTTCCAGAGCCTGCACAATATGATACAATTCCTGTTGTAACTTACACTTGGAAATTTTACGTCTTCCACATTCATTCTTGTGTATTATAGCAATGTAAGTTCAATGTCTATTCAAGGGTTATTTAAGCGAAACAAAATGAAATTGTCATTTAGTATGTAGAATGTAAAATTCAAGTTGTAACTTCCTCCTTCTTATCTTCTCTCTCTTCTTATCTCCTGTAACTGTCTTTACCTTATTTTACCTTTATCTTTCCTCTGTCCTCTGTTGTTGTGAATGTATGTGATGTTTTATATATAAAATACGTTTGTATCTTGTTTATGCTCAGTACTTATTTGGGGATCATTCTCCTCAAGACGATTTTGGCTTTCATGATTCCGCACTTCCTTTTATCTTATGTTGATAATGAACAAACATGTATATATTTCTGATGTTTTTTAAAAGAGAGTGAAATAAATAAATAAAATGTCTTTTCTCCTATCTAATCCCATGTTATATCGTTGCGATCCCACCGCTGCCACCATGTTGTAAAAGCTGAATGTCAGAATGAAAAGGCTAGAAATTACCTAGCTACTGATTGTATAATACAATTTGGTTCGTCTTTCCTTTGATGAATGTCATACTTCAATCCATTGGCAAGATACACAGGCCCTAATTCATATGACGCCAAGGTTTGTAAAAACGTGTCAAATCGTGTCATATGACGCACATAAACCTAGGTTTGTCGACAAACCTCCTTTGAGAATTTGGGCCACAGAGTTTATACTCATTCAAGGTGTATAATGGACAAATATGAAAACATAATTAAGCAGGTATATATCTAGACAAAGTATGCATAACAGTTATGATATCTTAAAGAGCCTGCAAAAGGCAATACAGTTCATGAAAAAACAAACATTCATTTTGCACTTCTACATTCATACTTCTGAATAATAGCAATATATTATTTAGTCTTTTATGCCATGCAACCCCAATGTAAAAAAATTGTTGACTACACCATTTCCGAAGAAGGGCAAATATGCACCACAAAAGTAATGTCTACAAGAGAATGACACCACACTCACCTCCATTCCCCTAGGTCCAGGCAACCCCCTCTCTCCCCTCTCTCCTGTTAGACCAGGCATCCCTGGGATTGCTGGCTCTCCTGGGATTCCTGGTTCTCCGACCAGTCCTGGTTCTCCTTGCATACCCTCTGGTCCAGGTGGGCCTTGTACACCAGGAGATCCCATCAAGTACTGCAATGAAGGAACAAGAGAAATACCATGAATTTTTGCATGTAAATACCTTCAATGAAGCAAGATTACCCATTAACAGTTGGTCATACATACATATATATTAATATTTACATAAACACCTATAAATAAGCAACATTACCCTGACATAATCACTGCAGTTATTACACACGCAGTCTGCATTAAATCAGAAATATGAGGGTATAAGAACGTTTATTTTCTGTCTTGATGGACAGGCAATGACATAATTATAGCAGAAAGTAAAAATGTATATGGAATGAACTGCGCTAGATACATAATGGAAGTTAGCCCCCCCCCCCCCAAAAAAAAAAGTGTTACTGCCAATATTGAATTATCTTATTTGTTATATTGTATAATGAGGTACAATTTTCTCATGGCAATCAGAGAATATACAGGTTTACTGTAGAAAAGATCATCACAAGAAGAAAGTTAGCTTACAGGTGGAACAGTTCCACTCCATACCCCGCTTCCATCAGCACTTCCTTCCTGGTCTTGATTCTGAACATGAGAGGAGAAACATAGTGGTTACACAGACGGAGATGGAGGCGGAGGGAGAGAAAAGGCCATGGAATGGAGGAAGGAGAAAAGAGAGTAGAGAAGAAAAATGAAGATAGAGGATATGCTACTACTGATTGGAAAAAGCATATATTACAATCTCAGAAAAATTACAATGTACATATCATCATGAAGTTTAATATCATTAATAGAACTGTAGAAGAGCCTCGGAGTCTTTAGTCCATGATCAGGAAGTAGATACTAAATTGCATTAACTTAGCCTCAGTTCTGAGGTTTAACACCAAGATTTGAAAACCAAGACCTGGGCCCCGTTGCATAAAACTTTTAACGTAGCGTTAAGCCCCTAATTTAGCGGTAAGTCCAGAAACAGCGTTAAATTTAATGTTAGCGTTAACTTTCCATTGCAAAAAGAGTTAACGTAATTTTTTAGTGGTAAGCACTTCAGAAACAGCGGTAACTTTACTACAGCTATGAAGGTAGCGTTAACTACCATCAATCAATTACGGTAAGCTTTCATTCCAAGATGGCAGCCATACTGCATACCATACAGCACGCCGCAGCTCTTAGGAGACAGAGGCATCCCTTGGACCTATATGACGACAAACAAATGTTCAAGTTGTATAGGTTCAGCAGGCAGGGATGCCTCCACCTGATTAACAGGTTATCCGGAAGGATCACACATACTTCTATCAAAAATTCAAAAACTTAACCTTAGGTTAAGTTTTTGATGTTGACGCCGCCGCTGTCGCCATCGCCGTCACCGCCGTCGCCACCGTCACCGGAAAAGCAACGCTTATGTCTCGCTTTTTGCTACGCAGGCGAGACAAAAATGGGCCATTAAATATGATAAAGGATACATAATTAAAAAGTTATCTTGGATTAAAACATGTGATGGCATCATAGTGGGAGTTTTTTTCGAATTTCATCAAATCACTGCTGTTTATATAATGTCTTATTCATGAACTATATCAATAATTGAACATGAAACACTCGACTTATTACCTCCCCCTGAACAAATTCCCCTTATCATAACAATTCGTTATAGTGAATTGACTATGATGAGAAATAGTACTATACAATAAAACATCTATGGTATATCAAATTAGATGAAAAATCATTCACTTTTTTTGTTGTTGAATATTAACGCTATTTACAGTCTATGAATTTGAACATTGCCAAAAGTGTGACATATATGACAACAATTTAACACATATTTACTCTTTACCAACAGGTGATCAAGTTCCCGGAAACCATGGAAGAAGTGAGAACAGCACAGGTGGATTTTTTCAACCTCGCTGGCATGCCAAACGTTGTCGGGGCCGTCGACGGGACTCACGTTGAACTGCATGGGGCTTCCCTTCACGAGGAAGAGTACATCTACACTAATCGCAAGGGGGAGCACTTCATAAACATGCAGCTTATTTGTAATGCGAGGTACAGGATAACAAACGTGTGTGCAAGATGGCCTGGGAGCACTCATGACAGCCGAGTATTGAGGGTATGTGACAGTTTTATCAGCATCTCTGATCACTATCATCATCACTGCCAATATCATGATATCATCCTACTCATCATTAAAATCATTATCAACATCATCATTATCATCATCAATCATCCATTTAGTCTATATTAATAATTTTAATTTTTAATTTAAACAAATAAATGTCACATTGATATTAAAGAAATATATTAAAGTACAATGTAATGTCTGACATTTTTCTCAATTTGTTTGCTATGGATTAAGAGAAGCCCAAACTGTATTTGTTTTGTTTTGTTAATCACACCTCCTCCAGCCTTGGCTAATCACCCCACTACGGGACCCACAAGGCAATGCTGAAAGAAATTACAACAGGCAAGTACTCAATCCATCACGTTCACTCAAATCTTTAAAGTGTTACAAATAATCAGAGAGCCCTTCAATGATTAAAAGTGATGGAATGTATCAGTTTAATAACATAATACCAACAATATTTGTACAAAGTACATCTCAAAATTTGCACATAGATCATAATACCAAATACTTTATATACATTTTTAAATTATGTTCATTTGAATATAAATAATGTATAACTTAAAGAAGATAAATAAATATTTAGATGTTATAATAGTATATAACTAAATTGGTACAAAATGAATACAATTGTAGTTTGAGTCTTTGTTAATGATGTAGTAAATGAAGAAAAGGTCTTGGAAAGATAATAGCATATATTATATAGATATTTACAAATGCTTTTTCTTAAAGGGTAAGTTGGGTTAATAAAGATCCTGAGAGATGTAGTATGTACGATGGCTTGCAAAAAAAATGATTACTACAGTGTTGGATTATTTATTCATTATAATATTTCTGACTACTATGTATACAGGGCACACTGCAGAACACATGTGACAATAGAACAACTGAATGGGCAATTGAAAAACAAATTCAGGTGCCTGATGGGACAAGGGATCCAGATGTCTGCACCAAGAGCATGTGACATCATAACTGCCTGTGCCGTGCTCCTCAACATCGCTAAAGATCTTAAAGAACCGGAGCAAGTCATCGAAGTGGAACCGGATAAAGTGCTACACCCACCCCCCCCCCCCCCCCCCCCCCCCCCCGCAGACCAGAACCAGCTGACTGGCATTGCTCTTCGAGCAGAACTCATCAATAATTACTTTTCATGAATGTCATAACTTGTTTGCAAGCACTATACAGTATATTTAAATGTGAATGTATAGATTTAATGCTGTATTTTATAACAACAAAATACAGTGATCATAGTTTTCTGACCTCCTAACTTTAACTAACTTTAGTTGGTTAAGAAACAAGGTTCTGTCAGGTTAAAGATTGCCCTACATATATTACACAGATGAAAGTTGAGTGATTTACAAAGTGAAGTTACTTGGTAAGACATTAATTATAAAACATCAATATAGGCACCAATAATGTTTGGAAGAAAAGAAGGAGATGAAGATGGTTTAGGAGAGAGAGAATGGAAAGGGGGAGGTAAAATTGTACATAGTTTGAAGAATACCAAAAGCATCTAACCAAATATTGAGCAGGAGAATCTTGATATGTTTGAAGTCAATGGAATCAAATCAAATAATGGTTAATTTTCTAAAAATGAAAAAAAAAAATCATTTTCCACAATCACGATTTGATGATAAGTATTCTGACATCACTGTCAGCATACTTTTCATCAATTCATGATTACTTTTCATCAAATCATGATTACTTTTCATCACTTCAAGCTTCTCCTGCTCAACTTGAAGGAGACTCTCTTGGTACTCTTTGTGTGACATCCCCTTAGACTTTTTCACTGTTTTTTTTCCACCAAATTTTGTCTTCATCTTCCCCCTTCTGGGCTCCCTCTCCACAACCATCTCTACCTCATCCCCCTCCACCTCCTCCTCCACTGCTCCTGCCTCCTCCCCCATTCTCTGGAGAAGCTCCATGGCCCCTGCATTCTGAGACAACTGTGAAGTAGAAATGAAAACAAAGCCAAAACTAAATTGTAAATACTATTCCTTTTTTGGGTCAAAAATTTGAAATGGAAATTGCATGGTTAGGAAAATATATCGAACTGTGACTCTGCATCGTAAGGAGCATTGTTAGTCGTTTGAAATACCATGGATGATGTATTTCGATGTTTAAATTAATAATAGAAGACCTTCGTGGACGTATACAAAATTACAACAAGCAATCACAGACAATGTACGATACACGCACACACAGAGATGCCGCTAAATCTCCCCCAGAGCTCCGGGGGAGATTCGCAGGGCCATCCCGTTCGACACAGCTGCATCAACAAACCACACAATTCATCACCGACACCGTAACAAAAACGTCACTATATTCAATGAAATTTGAAGAGATTTGCACAATTTACGAAGTCAACATGACTTACAACAATTCATTTTCATTTCTGAAGTACTGCAGTTTACAAAATTGGATCGATAAATTTTAAAGGCGTAAACTTACGTTAGTTGGGGACGCCATTGTACCACACTGAACTTTGGTATCTCGGAACAGTAGCAGACGGTCGACAAAAATAAACATCCCGCTCGCTGATCTGCGCATGCGCCTGCTTGTTTCGATCGATTCAATGACGTTGCTATCATAGTAACTTACTACTCTTTTTATGCAATGGAAAATGCCATCTATAGTAGCTTACCATTAATTCACCAGCCAATTATGGTAGCTACTATAGTTTCAATTATAGTAAGAAAAAGTTTTATGCAACAGAGCCCTAGACTGGTTTTGCACCATGAGTGATAGCTAAAAGGTGCCTATGAATATGAAATAGATTTATGGCCAAATTTCAGTACATCCATTATCACTAACAACACGACTTATCAATTTAATTGTTTTTATTTCTTCAGTAGACATGCTGAATAAATAATGTTAAAATAAACAATATCAAGGGGTGAAGGTTGATTCTGGATACTCACCAGGGCCATATTGGTCCATGGGAAGCCCGGTGGTAGGAGGGGTGAGGGTCCTGGTGGCCCTGGGGGACCAGCTGGGCCCGGTGCACCCCTGGCTCCATTCTGACCAGATTCCCCTGGTATTCCAGCAATGCCTGGTACACCTGGTATGCCATTCTGACCCGGGCCGCCCTGCAAAATGAGGAGACAAAGTGTGGTTATGAGGGTTAGATAATATTAAAAAACATAGCCATTCAAAGCCATTCACAAATCTTTCCGACAACCTTCCCCCTCTCTATCTCTCTCTCTCTCTCTCTATCTCCTGCTCTCTCTCTCTCTCTCTTTCTCCCTCCCTCTCTCTCTCTCTCTCCATCTCTCTGTTAATCCATTAAACAAAATCTCTCTCCCACTGTGACATTGTCTTATCCATCTTTCACATGTTCTCATTTTTTCTTCATTTTTTCTTATTTCCCTCTCTCTCTTCCATCTTTCCTCCAATGCTGAGTAAAGACATAAAACTGACAAAGTCTTACCTTCATTCCCTCAGGTCCTTCAAGACCAGGGAGACCAGATGATCCCTGTTGAATGAGAACAATGATTGGTAAAATATTATGATGAAATTAAAAAACAACATATTAATATCTTAAGTTTTCATCCAGCATTATCCCTGTTAAATCACCTTGGGTGTTTCACAAAGCCTTTTTTTAAGACAAGTGACACAAATCAATGAAAAATCTGCTGATAACCAATCAAAAGCAAGGATTTCACTAGCTTATTACTAAACTGTCATTTTTCACTGATGACAAGTTTTGTGAAACACGCCCAGATCTGCAAAATAAATAACTGCATGAACACATTATTTAGATGTTTAATCTGGAATAATTCTTACTAGATGCAGAATGAAATTGCCTCAGTTAGTTCTTTTGGACATCTAAATCTTCTTCAGCCTTCACCCCAAACGAAACACCCTTTCAGTAACACGCTGCAATGATGTGGGGAGCAGTACAGAAAATTAGAAAATTGTAGAACATATAAACAGAAGAATTAATTGTTTGGTTTACTTACCCTTTCACCTTTCATTCCAGGATTTCCATCCATACCAGAATCTCCTTTAGGACCAACAGCACCCTGGTAATAAAATAAGAATGATGATTCAAATTTGAACTTAAATAGCTTTATGACATTGTACTTGGAACAGATGTCAGTTTACATCAGGATCAATGAATGGGCAAATACACTGATTTTACCTATTCAATAATGTTTGAAAGCAAAATCTAGTACAATTGATATCATCACTATTTAGTTAAATATGAACTTGAACAATTTATTCATTATCTAAGTCTCTCTCTCTTCTCAACCACTGCCATCATCATCATTATTATCATCTCTAACATCATCACCACCACCACCACCACCACCACCACCACCACCACCACCACCACCACCACCACCACCACCACCACCACCACCACCACCACCACCACCACCACCACCACCACCACCACCACCACCACCACCACCACCACCACCACCACCACCACCACCACCACCACCACCACCACCACCACCACCACCACCACCACCACCACCACCACCACCACCACCACCACCACCACCACCACCACCACCACCACCACCACCACCACCACCACCACCACCACCACCACCACCACCACCACCACCACCACCACCACCACCACCACCACCACCACCACCACCACCACCACCACCACCACCACCACCACCACCACCACCACCACCACCACCACCACCACCACCACCACCACCACCACCACCACCACCACCACCACCACCACCACCACCACCACCACCACCACCACCACCACCACCACCACCACCACCACCACCACCACCACCACCACCACCACCACCACCACCACCACCACCACCACCACCACCACTATCATCCAACATCGCAATCATCACTTCAACCAGCAATACTCACCGGTACACCAGGAGGGCCTCTGGATCCATTAAACCCATCCATTCCAGACAACCCCTCCATCTCAAACTCGGCAGTTAGGTTAGCGATCTCATCTAGGATCTCCTCTTCCGTCAGAGCTCCCGGTTCTCCCTTGGGACCAGGTTCTCCATCTCGGCCTGCAGGACCAGGTTGTCCTGGAACACCATCCAGACCAGGAATCCCATCCAGACCAGATTCACCTCGGGGTCCGTGCGGTCCCATCACTCCAGGACGTCCAGGAGAACCAGGTTGACCAGGAGGCCCCTGTTGGTATATTCCATACAAAAGGAAAATGAATTAATGCCTCCGTTCAAAGTTTTAAATGAATGGAGAAATTCTGAACTTGTTTAATAATCAAAGGGAAATTGAGCACAATACTTAAAACAATATTACAGTACTCATCTTGCCTTCTTTACATTGATGTTTAACAACTTCACATTTAGAAAACATTAAAGTCAAAACTAGCTGATCCATGTATTTTCTGTTCCGAGGCAGAAGGGCATTAGCTCTGTGTAAAACTATACAAGTTAATGCCCTTCTGGCTCCAAACAGATTTATTTGTATATACAATTATACATATGCATCACATATGAATTATGCATTATAATGCATTCAATAGGAAAATGTATCAACATCTAAAAAGATGTGCAAAGAAGAAAAATAATACTTACAACAAACATCTCCAGTCCAGATCCCTCAATAAAACTCTGTGAAAAAGACATTTGTGAGAGAGATACAAGAACATTAACAAAGAAATGGGAATCTAAAATCCTTTATTACTTTTTCATAATCACAGACAATAATTAACAATTCAAGATTGTAGTTATGATGAGGGCAAGTAAAATGCTTTCAAACTATATCAATATAGTTCGGTCCAGAATGTGTAAACCATATAACAAAAAGATACAATAAGCTGCTATTTGAGAAAAAGATACAAACTGAATCTGAATTCCCAGAAATCCAACTAATATGAAAACACCATAGTTGATATTCTTTTGAGTAGAAGAATCTCCTATCTTTTCCAAACCTCAATACTCCTCTCACACGTCAAGGACATTTTCAAATATGATTACATTTATGGAAAGTTGATATGGAAGTTGGATATAGAAAGATAAGAAATAATTAACTCTAGCAGTGTACTCACTTCAAGAGATGAGGGACCTGGCAGTCCTCTTTGCCCAGTCTCTCCCTTTGGTCCTTCTTTACCAGGTTTACCTTGAGAGCCAGGCAAGCCTAGTCCTACTTCACCCTACAAACAAAAATAGAAAGTTCAACAAGACTATCATAAATGAGATGTACTGCAATTTTGAATAGACAAACCTAGTCCTATTTCACCCTACAAAAAAATAGAAAGTTCAACAAGACTATTATAATAGACAAGACAGAGTCATACATCAAGCATAACTAATGCTACAAATGTTAGGAAATATAATCTCTAGCATTTTTCTTGAATTTTTTTTTACCCATTCCACAAGCAAATCTGGTATTTGAAAACAAAATCAAGCAACTTCTAGGTGATTTTATACCAAAAAGTCCCTTGGTAACAATGATGCTAACCTTATCTCCTTTTGGACCTGGCACTCCTATACCATCAACTCCTGGGATTCCCATTGGTCCTTGAACACCCTGTGAAAAGAAAACACCATTCTGTTAAGACTGCTTATTCAAAGTCTAATCATGGATCAAAGATAAATAAGTGTTGCGGTCCTACTTCACCCCATGAAAAAAAATATAGGTATTGGCAAGCATGTTTAAAGTCCACTGGTGAAATATTTAGTAGTGATGAAAGCTGGTTTCTTTTCTACATAGAATTATTATATTGCACATATTACATTGCCTGTGGATGGTCAGAAAATTATCAACATTTCAAATATAAAATGAGCATTCCACTTTTATTGGGCTGAATTTTCATTAACATGTCATATTGTCTTTTGGGACTGGTATAATTTGTAAGTCTGATTGGCAAATATATCACGAGAGTAGGACAAATATGATGAATATTGGAGGAGTATTATACGTACCGGTACACCTGGGTAACCATCCCTTCCAGGGTCACCCTGTGTGTAAACAAGTAAGAATAGTAAAAAGAAACAATATGAAGTTCTGAATACAGATAATAAAATAATAAACTGCATTGCAGAGCAGAATAATGTAGAATAACTACATGTTTTAACATTTTAGAAAACATAAATGATGCTTGCTTCCCCCTCACTAGCAGCTATTGGTATATGAAACCACACAAATGTGAGATTCAAAATATGTACACGAGTTGCAAATTGATTTAATCATATTCTGAATATGAAAGAATTCCAAATAACATTATTTTTATATAACATTATATGAAAGATTTCCAAATATCAGAATTTTCGTATAACATTACTACAATGCTATTCTTATGTATAAGAATATAAATTATGAGAAAGCTCACAATTTGTTTTCTCCCTTTACAAGTACTTCTTCTACTCTTCAACATACCTTTTCACCTCCCAGACGCATCATATATTCAGAGCTGAGGGTCGGCGCAACACCAGGTAGACCTGGGACACCTACTCCAGGCTCTCCCTAGCATTTAAGAGAGACAACAACAAACATTTGTCTTAGTCTGTGAACAACAGAGACTTGAAGTATTTACTGCAGGGACCAGTGAACGAAGATATCAAATCTGTATTACGCGTCTTCCCATAACCTTTGTTGAATGACTATCAATATCACCTATGATTTCATTATATATTGATTTATCCATCTTGAAGACAAGTTGATATGTCAGGCAAACACCAGGCAAGCCTATTTGTTTTCAAGAGCACTTTCTATTTGAGAAATACATGCATGCATATAGATGAATAGAAACGTAAACTGGTCTGTTTGAGTTGGGTTCTGTCTTTGGTTTTAAGCTATCTATGTTAGATGTAGAATCATAGTATACTATTATATGTCATGAATACAAATCCTTAAAGTGATGTAAATAGAACCTCACACAAGGCATTGTATCTGAAGTTGTTCCTCTTAAGCCAGAAGTAGTAAATAGGTACCAGGTAGGATATATTCTGTTTAAATAAATGTATGCTGATTTCATGATGATTAATGTATAAAGCTAATAACGGATCACTTTCCAAAGTGTATAATAATAACAATAATAATAGTTGGTTCTTGTATAGTGCTCATGTCTGTCATACGTGACACTCCTGGCACTCCCAATTATTACCCCGGCTCTGCTAGGCTACCGATTTCGGTGCTCACAGCATTCAAGGAATTCCTTCCTACCGGTCCCCATTTACTTCACCTGGGTTGAGTGTCAGTGGCAAATGCAGATCAATGTCTTGCCAAAGGACATTAGTGACCTTATATCCGCTTTTAGCAACTTACGGCTGCATGGCTACAGCTAGATGGATAAAAGTACAGTGCGGGCACCTTGAGCATTACTTAGGGTGGATAAATGTAGTTCATGTGAACTGTACTAGGTATTATATGACTATTGCCACTACTTGTACATCCAGATTCATCAAATCTCACCTTTGCTCCTGTTGCTCCGGTCATTCCTTGGTCACCTTCCTCACCCTTGACCCCTGGGTCACCAGGAGGACCGGCCACACCCGGAAACCCTTCCTCACCTAGAGGTCCTACAGGGCCAGCATCCCCTAAGTCACCTGGTAGGACGAATAGGAGCAGTATAAAACCATAACCTTAATCTTCTGTGCAAATCTTTTTTGAACAAATGTCATAAATGAACTTTCATTTTTTTTTACCCATTGACTACTGAATTCTCTTTTTACCCATTGGTTTAATACAGGAACTACCCGGTTCCAGTAGGCAATGGGTTAAAATGCTTGTAGAACTGTCAAAATGGGCATGGAATATACTCATCAGGCACACAAACTTTATAGCGAAGGTAGTGCGAGGACAGTTGTTTCTGGTTCAGCTTCTGACTTTACCAACAACAGCATGGAAGGAATAATTCTTTTGAATAATCATTTAACCATCTCAAGAATTTATATTGGAATATGACTTTTCTGTAACAAAAAAATATATTTTTAGCAATATTACTCTTGTTTGGTATTTGTTTCTATTATATGTTTCTGTTTTTTTATGGACTATGCACTTTTTGTAAAATCATTGTACATTTTAATGTATGCCTGAAATAAATAATCACTATTCTTTTTCTGAATTGTAAAAGGCCCACTTAGTTACTTTTTTCCCTGACAGATCATGAACTATCTAGGAACACATACAAGGATTGACTTAAACTGTCAAAATACAATTTTTTAAATGGGTGCACTCTATACCAAAGATAACGATGATAAGATGATGACAATGATGACAATGGTGACTATGTTGATGATGATCATGGAGATAATGATAAGGCTGCTGGTGACAATGGTAACATCGATAATGAAATGGAAGATTTAATGATACAGTTGTTGGGCACAGAGAAAGACTAAGTAACAAATCAATAATTTTAAAAAAAGAAGAGAGAAAGGGAGAGGAAGAGGGATGGAAAATGAGGGGAGATGGAGAGAGAGATGAGCAAGAAAATGTTTTGAAAAAAATATTGGAGACAATATTTCATAGAATATTTATTAATACAAATTACTTTATAGGTAAAATAGTATTTAGTAAATAGATTTATTATAATACATGTATTAAGTACAAAGGTCATTATTTTGTTATGGATTATATTTCTTTGTAGTATATACCGGTATATGTTTAGTGGTTACTGCTGAATAAACTAAACTAAACGGTATTATCATGCATTTAGTACGTATGACCTAGCCAGCAGGCACAGATGTTAACAAAAGTTGATTAAATACAAGTAGCAACATTACATAGCACATTTATGGAAAAAGAAAAATAAGATGATAAATGTCAAAATGAAACAAAATGATTGCATGAAAATGTTGATGGAGACGGCAGTAACGCAAGTAATGAAAATTATGACAAGAGATTGTGAATGAATAACAATTGCACCATAGAACCATGAAAATGATTTGATACATTTAAAAAACAGACTTCTGAAGGGCTTAATATTTTGCAATATACAACTGTTTTTACATAGAAATTGATATTAATTTATATGGAATACTTTACTGATACATTTGCCAAATCCATCCACCTATTTATCATTAAGGTTATTAAGGTTATTAAGGGGAGGTTAGAATTTTAAGTCACTTCTAAAACACCAGGTATATGTAGTTTGGCTCTTGTACATCTGCCTAGTTTCTTGCCGAACATATCATCAGGTTAGACTACACCATTAGATTCCTTTTTATGATACGAGGATCACAGATTGGTGTATAGTTTAAAGGAATGTAAATACAAATGGGATCAAATTATTGATTATTAGTCATATCTATAAAAAAAAAAAGTGAGAGTACTTCTAAATCAATCCTTTTCATGTTGTTTTCTCCCAATTAGGAACAAAATGAATAGTAAAGCTAACAAACTATTTATTACATTTACCAGTACTGAACTTTCTCTTTAAACCTGAACGGAGCACCTCAAAAGAGGTTGAAAGAGAGCGATTTGGGTGATCGGACATTAAATGGATGCAGATGTGATCCGGCCCATCTGGAGTCATTCTATTCAGATGGTTTCTTACAAACATGGGATGATGAGGATGAAGATGATAGCTGGGGGACATGGAAATAGATAGGATGGACTGATGGAATCAAAACACCATTAAAAGAACCGATGAGATGATGGGTACCCGGAGATCGATCTCTAAATAACATCATGACCCGTATTACCACCTCCTGGGTATTCCTTCCAAAACAGATCCCACATGGCATGCGTGACACATTTTTCGTTCAGATTTGATTTTCAGATTTATTCCAGCTCTATGACATACACCAGCAAATATTGTCTGCTTTTAATTCATTATGCATTTGCAAAGTAGTTTCATTTTTTTCTCTTTATAACTGTTACTAGGTCAATATTGAGTATTTTACTGACTACTTGACTTTAGCTGAGGCAATGATATCATCAAGCATCAAGCACCCAAGAAAGATGTGTCATAAATCATTGAATTTTTCAGCCCCATTTTTGGTACCAAACTTATTTCACAATAATGTTGTAAGTCAAGAATGGAAAAGGGCCCTGTTTCATGAAACTTGTTATCAACAACAAATGATAAATTTCTATGACAAATTTGCTCTCAGCCAATCAAATGCCATGATTTCAGTAGCTTATACCAGTTATTGTAATTGTTATTTTTAGTTAACAAGTTCTATGAAAAAGGGCCTAGGACTATAAATGTTTGTCCACATCTACCAACCTTCACAAGGAAAATTTAGAGACATGTCAAGGCAAGAAGGAATGCCAGATTCTTGTGTATAATAATTCTTTTAAACAGAAATTCCAATGATAGAGGAATACTGGTTTCTCACCATTAGAATGAAGGCAAAAAAGAAAGAAAGAAAAACAAAAGAAGAATAGTTCCTGCTAAATAGGAATAGTAGGCAGCTGTCTGTGTCTCAGAACCATTTCAAACTCACCTTTTTCCCCTTTGGGCCCCATTGGTCCCTCAGGCCCCTCGGGTCCAGTTTCACCTATAGGTTGTTGGATTCAATGGTTAGAGCACGAAACAGACTACAACACACAACATAGAATTGTTAACAACACAAAGCTTTATAAAGCTATACTAAAGATAAATATCTACTAAAGGTATATTTTCTGCTTGCATCCACACCATTTTGCTGTCAAGATATCATTTTTAATAGCTTGCCTACCACATTTTTCTTATGGCAAGACAGCGCTGCATCTGTTGATTAAGTTTAGTTCTTTAAAGTTAATGTATTTCTTATACTACACAAAACAAAATATTTTTCTATGCATGTCATCTCCTAATACATACATACTATTCAGTATTAAGTGTAAAGTGCTATTTCCTATGCTGCTTTGCATCATCAAAAAGTATTAATTGGGTGTCCAGGCCTCAAAATATATACTGAGTATTATATATATGACTCCATTTCACGCCACACAGGGGATCACGCATTTACTCACATTCATACATAAAACATAAGAAGATTATTATAATAAACAACAGAGTTATATGATAATATAGTTAACGATACTTTGTTTCTACTTGCAAAAGAAAATGTAATGTTATTCAAGATTTGGTGTAACAAACCTGCTAACTAAAAATATATTTGAGATAACAACTGCTACAGGGTTCAGGAGAGTTGAAATATATCATAGAGACTAAATCTCAGATAGATAACAAAGGTAGAGTTATACAATCATTTATAGCAAGGTACTAACTACGCATTTCATTTTACATTTGGTCAATTAGCTTTTTTCTTATTAATCCCTTTAAGCACATTTCTATAAGAACCTATCAGCATTTTAATGACTATTGTTATCATTTGTTTCTCTTATCTAATGTATCATTAATACATTATGTCAAAGAGCTATTTATCAGGTACACAAATAGGTAATTGCTTTCACTAGGCTTGTCAATATCCATGCCATACTTCAAAACCAGAAGCTTTCATGCGCATGAAACTTTCCCAAATCTAGCTAGTGATGGAGATTCAGTGGAGTAAAAGCTTCACGTCATTAAAGTTTCTGGTTTTACAGTATAAGTTAGAGATCTGTGTTATCAGACAGAAAACAAATTAGTAATTACTTTCTTGTATCTTAGGAATGATTAGCACTATTGTTTTATAGTTCAAAACCAGATAGATGGTGGAGCCAGAGATCTTGTGGGAAACTTGGATTCAGATCATGCTTTCACTTGATAACAGGTTTAATAAATCCTCAAGAATATGTTTTTCTGTGGACCAAATGGGCATCATTAAGCATAGAGTTAATGCCCTTTTGGCTCTCAATAGATGTATGACTTTTAAGGCAAGCAAGTATTGTCAATAACTTCAGTGTATTTCCCTAACCCAAAATAAAATGTTTCTTGATAAAGGTTCTCTATCAAACCAGATCTGATTATTCTTTGAACAATTCCCAGTTCCCTGCATTTACTACATAAAGGGTCTTGTGTAAGTGTCCAAGGGCACAATTCCCATTCAGATTCCTGCACCACCATCTAAAAAATCAGCCAATGTGACTAACCTCCTACTCCACGTGGCCCTGGGACGCCGGGGTTGCCATGTATACCGTTTACTCCCGGCCAGCCCTCCTCTCCTTTCTGTCCTTTCATAGAATCCCCAGGAGGAACGACTACAGCTGGTTGAGAGGAAGGCGTGGCCTGCAAAGTGGGCGTGGTGGGTGGGGCCTTGGGTAGGATGGTAGCCACCTGCTCCAGAGGGGGCTGTACACTGGCTGGTAGCTGTCATAACAAGTAAAAAGAAGACATTGTTATTCCAACTGTTATCTAATTCATTGGGAGGTTTGTCCGACTGGCCAGACATCATTCTACATTTGCCATCCTCCACCCAGGTGTAGTAAATGTGTACCTGGTAGGACGTTATTCCTTGAATGCTTTTGTAGCCATAGGGCAGCTTAGCCAAAGCTGTGGTAAAGATAGTACTTGTACGCCGTGCCCCTAGAATGGATAAATCATATCATCAACGCATTATCTTGAGCAAATATTTCCTTTTACACGGTCTCCCACGTTTTGAAATTTCAAATGGTTTGCATTTCACTATTTTTTCCCTTTTCTGTACTTTTCTTTATACAGTCCTTTCGGTAACTTGGACTTTAACATTTCTTTAAAGACTAATTCAATTAGAAATGTAGGGATTTCACTCACTTTAAAACTCATTTCGAAACCCTGTTGTTATGTTGCTGACATTGCAAGGATCATGGTCGACGGTACTTTTCTGTAAATTTCATGAGCAAAGTCATTGGCTTTTCCATTCTTTATACAAGGAGGTTAATGTGTGAGATTTGATGCAAGGCTGTAACCAACCACACGACCCTATAGGCCTGTCTTCACTATCTCGAGATTGCCAAATATCCAGCTATTTGAACTATCCCGATCGCAAACTATCCAGCTAATTTGCGTCTTCATCAGACCGAAGTAGCAATTAGAAGGATATTTGGTCAGGATTGTCATCCCAAGATATCTTGGGATAGTTTGCAAAATATCCAGCTATTTGTCCTGTGCGTCTTCACTACACCGAAGATTCGCAATACGCACTAACGCTGAGCAAAATATCTCAAGCTAATTTCTCAAGGTCGGGTTTCAAGTTTCGAGGTCGAATCTCGAGATAGTGAAGACGCGATTTGTTACTTCGGGATTATTTCTCAAATCAAAAATAGCGGGCTATTTGGCAATCTCAAGATGATGAGGACGCGCCTATTGGTAACATAACCTCGACTGGGTTTCTATTACCGTCCATCCCATCCATCAGTCAATGAGAGAATGATCTCTAATGACTAATTCAGATGTTACATGCCAATGTCTCTGTCAGATGGCTTTATGTATAACCTTGGTAGAGAGAGGGCTGAAACATGAGCCTAGCTAGAGAGGAACCCATTCACACTACAGATTAACGAGTGGTCTGGTTAAGATGGACCCAAAAGAACACTCAAGTAGAATATCCTTTTCCTTCATCTCTAATTAAATTGGTTTCATTACTTTAGTAACATTCACCCTTTACCGATAGAATGCATGTATCACATATTTGTCAGTTGGAGCAATGTCATTGTTACTCCAGCGGAAGTGCCTGGAAAATCACTAATTGCCGCTAAATTACCTCGTTAGGGATGTAATCTAGTGAAGATAACATTCTGGTAGAGCAACTTATGGTGCAGTTGTAACTTCAGACTTGTACATGTACATATACAAGTGTTTAATATTGTAACAAATGTTTCAAGGGAATGTTGGCCCAAGGGTTTCATGAGATGCTGTCCACCCCATGAAGAGGGGTCGCATTGATTTAAGTGTGAATGAGGTTTAGGTCATTAAACTCTCTTCAACATGAGATGAGCAGTCTACAGGGAGTCTTATCAGTCAGCATCGTCTTATCTCAGGCTGGTGAGCATTGACTGATACCACTGGTAACTTAGCTCTTCTGTCCCTCCTTCCACATAGCACTATATCTCCCTCTATCAACTATTTCCTCCTATCTTCTCCTTTTCTGTCTCTTTCAACCCCACCCCCCCCCCCCCCTCTCCCCCTCTTCCTTTCTCTCACACTCTCTTCCTCTCTCTCTCATTTACTTGATTCACTTCTTCTCATTCTTTCTCTCTCTCTCTTTCCCATTTTCCCCTTCACCCTTCATCCATCCTCTGGCTCACCTCTACCATGTATCTCTGTATATATATCTCTCTCTCTCTCTCTCTCTCTCTCTCTCTCTCTCTCTCTCTCTCTTTTTCCCATCTTCTATCTTCATAACACATCTTCTCCCTAATCTAAATGAGTAGTGTAGTAGCAGTACACATTATTGGATAACTTGTTTAGCACAAGGCCAACCTGCCACAAGGCCACTATTATCAATACCTTCCCTTCCTCTTCTCCTCCACCTAACTGTTCTCCTCCCTTATGACCAAATGATCCCTAGATTCTCCTCTTTCATCTTCTCTTGTCCTTGCATCTCAATGTTCAATGTTCATTCTTGTACATGTACCTTGACACAGTTCATTTCCGTGCTCAAACATTAATGCTATCAACCTTATAAAGATCACTAGGAAACAAAGATCATGTCAATGCAACTTCAGGAGAGCATCTTGTTGATGTTATCATCCTAATTATTATCCCCCCCCCCCCCACATGCACACACACTCACACACACATCTCAGTAAACGAGGGTCACCATAGTGACATCCTCATCATAATTCACAAATCAGAACATTCTTCTACACTTTAGGAAATGGCCATCATCATCATCATCATCAGATTTAGACACTGCCATCCCAGTCTCATCATCTACCCTCCCGTTCACCCTCTCTGTGCACATGATCACCATGACAACATGATGTTGAGGTGGGATGCGGGAGGGGGGAGGCTTACCCGGACATTATTTGCTGGAGTTGATGGAGTCTCGGCGTCATACTGGGTGAAGTATGTGATTGGCATCTCTGGCATGCTTGTTGGTTCATCCCCACTTCCTGAAAACTGATAGTAAAGACAAAGAGAAAAGACAGAGAGAGAAAAGAAATAATTAAAATGAGATCAAATTGACAGAACCCATGAAATATGATCTTAGTAACTTCTAAAGGTATACATGTACTGTGAATACAAATGACGAACTAAAACAAAAAGAGATTAAAAAATATATAACAGGAAAAATTACATGAAAAATGTCCTGTTGACAATTAGGATTAGATCTATGGATGAAAGACATAAAAAATGATTAATATTATACTGGATATAGAATACATAGAGAAAAACAAACATACACAAATGTACATGACAATAAAACTTTCAGTTCAATACAAATGATTGGTCCATACACAATGGATGTACAGTGTATATCAGAGCTTCACTAAAAATAAGAATAGAAACACTGTGAGAAGATCATCCCATCTCTATGAACAACGAGAAACTTTCCCATATGAAAATTGATACAACAAAATGAAACACAGTATTACAGTATACTGATACGAATAGGACAAACATAAAAAACATAGAGTAAAATTAATCTTGCCTTGATATGACAAAAAATGGTTCGGAATTCAATATTATAGATAGTACAGATGAATGTCTAAAAATCATCCAAACTTTCACCCTAAAAATTACAACCTCCTCTCCGCAGACACAAATAAATTTGCATCAGTATGCAAAAGCAGGCAAATTTATCTTATACATACACACAAAAACATAATCTTATTTGGAAACTTGTTTTAATTTTTAATTCTGGGGTGGTACATAAATGTTTCTAGTGTTTAAAAAAACATTCATGAGTCTATAAAAAATACTAAATATAAGCACGTTGCTAGTATATCCATAATAACAGATAAACAACAACACACCAGGTCATAAGAAGTTCAGACACGTTATATTTGGAAGAGAGAAGTTGATAACATCATGCTGATATGTGAAAGAAAGTACGAAGAATGTCAAGGTTCATCAGGTGAATAGGTGAATTCTTCCTAAACTCAAAACAAGACAGACAGTGTGGGAGGAGAATGTTTAAGGTAAAGTCTACATTTTGCATATGTTTTGTTGCGCACATTATACTACAAACTCAAGATAATTTGTTTGCATACACAGGCACGATTTATTATTGAAGTTGTTGACTCCTTTATTGTAAGAGTAGCACGATGGCGCAGTGTTCTTGTAACCGGGAGGTCCTGGGTTTGAAACTAATTAGATGTGGTACTAGTCACTAGTGTTTGGTAAGGCACTAATCTTCATTACCAAGTCCCTCAGAGAGGACTTAAAGCATATCGGTCCCTTGGTTGCTTACTAACAAGCATACACATGCTCTCTGAGCAGTCAGGTAAAACAAACAAAACAACCAAGCTAGGACCATGGACCTAGGACCTTCACAAAACTAATCATAAAATAGGTTATTGTTGTTCTATCAAAACTATTATAAAAAAATAAAAGGAATATCCTATATATTTTGGTTGCTAACTAGTACTGCACACTTTAAAAGGGGCGGGGCAGTTGTAGTTACCCCTCCCCATACCACATGATCCATTATAACACCCTACCAGTAGCAGTCAATCAAAGCTACTGTCACCATTTCTGGGGCATGGTCTGAACTTTTGACCAATCAAGTCTGATCAGCACAGAAAAGTGTTCTCCAACAAATTCCCAAAAAAGTTGAATGGGATATACCGAGAAGAAACTGAGGGAATGAAAAATCTTTTGATCTTGGCTGGGTTTATTGGAGTTATTCCAGGTGAGGAAATAGCTTTGGTGAAGGATAACGAGATGAGAAGGGATTTGGGAACTTGTGTTTGAAATAGGACAGCGTGAAAGGGGAGCTGTCTGGCTGAGAGAGCAAGAAAGACAGAGAGAATGGGAGAGAGAGGGAGAGAGAGAGAGAGAGAGAGAGAGAGGGAGGGAGGAGGGGAGGGGAGGGAATATATATGATTGGAGGAGGGTGGAATGTTTTGGTCCAAGAAATAAGTCGGGATTCGATGGATTTTGGGAGAGCATTAGATATGAGAGGAGATTGAGTAACACAGAACACAAGTGCTCATGATGACAAAACCAATGAGAGTATACAGGACAGGGGAATGTGAAAATAGAGTACCCCAAAAATCTGTAAAATGATAACCATCCAGTCAGATATAAAGACTGGAAATGATGGAAACCAGAATTAAATCTAACAAAATAAAATGACATGATCAAAGTGTCAAGAGGGGGGGGGGGGTGGTGTAACAACACTCATCTTAATTTGCTAATATTTTCAGAGAGTTTTTAGAGCTTTATCAGCATTTTGTAGGGGGAAGTTTACTATCATTCCTCAAGTTTACCTTGAAACACCTTTATCAAACCAGACATAAAAATGAAAAGGTTCACCAAAAATGTACCTTGCTTTTGGAGCTGTGATGACTGATTGGTCCTTTGATACCGCATCCTTTGAATTAAAGGAGACAGAACCGGGACACATTCCCAGGGTAGAGGAATGTGGAAACACCATGAATGACATAAAGCATGTTCACACTAGAGGATGTTCGATGCATGTCATATAAGCATATAAGCATATAAAGAATCACCATCTATTGAAAGGGGTGTATGCACACCGAATAACAAAAACTGTAGAAAGAACGTCTTATATGGAAACTAGTTTGAACAGGTCAGTTGACACGACAGCTGCCCAATCATCAGTACGCCCTTAAGATAAGCCCTTCCCACTTATACGTTTTCGTCTGATACATTCAGACATTTGAACCAGAGCATGACACTGATTCTCTATCGAGCTTTCATTAAAAATGATGCTCAAATATGCATTTCACTATACAACATCCTGACTAGAAAAATGAAGTGCCTGTCATATAGCTTTAATTTTTGTAAATATATCTAGGCATATGATGACTTTCGGTAGTCTGAACGAAAGGATATCATGGAAGAATTGTATGTTTTCAATGTCGAGGGGATATCAAGGGGAGCTGTGAAGGGATTAGGTAGAGGGATATCAGACGGGGGCAGATTAGGGATGGATCAGAGGGGAATGAATGACACGATGCCTGCTGGATCAAAGTAGGTCGGGATACAGACAGGTATGCAACATGGAATTCATTAGGTGGGACTAGGTATGCGAGGTATCACAGAAGGAGGGTGTAAAATGAGGAAGTATGTTTACAGGATGAGGCAAGAAAACAATATATGGGATCTATAGGTGAGAGAAAAGACTCAAGAAGACTTTGACGAGGGGGGGGGGGGGGTGACAGAGGGACTGTGTGGAGATGATGGAAGGATAGAGATGAGACAGAGAAAAAATGTGAGGAAAGAGATAGATGTTCATAAAGGGGAGAGGTAGAAGGATGGTTTAGGAACTGCAATTTAGGAACAAGATTGTGACAAGGCAAGAAAAAACATGGGATAGTATAGAAAGTAAGCACAAGAGAAAAAGAGCAAGAAAAAGGAGAGTGTAAGAGTGAGAGTTAAGAAAGCAAAAAAGAGTGAGAGTGAGAGAGAGAGAGAGAGAGAGAAAGAGAGAGAGACGATGGGCAGAAATAATAAAATCATGAAAGAAGAAGAGGAATAGATAGAGGTAGAGAGATAGCAAGATAAAGGAAAATGAGCAACAGAACAGTATCTGAGGGATGTTTATAGTCTGATGGATTCTGGCCGATAAGAATGACACAAAAGTGCAAAACCCTCAGCAGTAATATAAACTTGACTGTGAGAGCTGCATGCTTTCTTTTATCATTTTGGATTCATCACTGATTCACAAACATCCAACATGATTATACAATGACCCCTACAGAGATTTCTTCTCTCTTAACTCCTGGCCTCGCACGACAGGAAAATGAATTGACAATGACACAGATATTATTATTAAATGAGCACTGAGACTGGGACACTATCATCAAACCAATTTAATTTTAAATGGAAGGGTGTTTTGTTAAATTTTGGGTTGAATCACTGATTATTTCATAAATAACTAGGCCAAAATGGGGTGAAAGAAGTCAATTTCTAAGGAATCATATGATGAAAACACCAAAGAAATTGTTCAAAGTGAACTTTGAAAAATAGTATGAAACAAGAGTGAATAATGACACAGGGAAAAAGTGGCTTGACATTTGACAACATCAACTTTTTATATGAAATTCAAATAAACAACAAGAAAGTGATCCAGTGCAAAGAAAAATATGAAAGAATGAAATACAGCTGTACCATTTTGTGATAAACTACAAGACATAAAGACCCTACATGAAGGTCAGAAGTGACATTATAAAATAAAATCTTCCTTGACATTTTGTTTAGACAATGAATACCAATGCTATGAGGTGGAGATAACAACTTTGGCATGACAAATAAATTGTGACATCAGTTCCAAATAAAACTTCAACAAAAAGTTAACAGAGAAGTGATAAAAGAGGTATCCGAGACAGGGTGCTGATACAGATGACTGCACATAAATAGCACAGACTGAAATATGTAACTGTGACAGATAGTTTACAATAAATTCACAAAAGTTTTGAAACTTTTGATGGAGATTGCTTATGACAAGCACATGGTATTGGCATCAGGAGACAAAAGTCGCTGGATTATTTTTTGGATGGGAAAGAGTGGAGGATTTAATGGTTTGCAGTTTCTATAGGTGACAAATAGAGCATCAAGTAGGTTATTTAATGAATGCAACGAGACAAGATAGTACAAACAAATAAGAGAAGCATACAATTAGTCATGGGTAGAACAGGTTTCTATATCTGTTAGAAAGAGAGATGATACTTTATGTTCTTGAGTGAAATAGTGGATGGTTTCCCATAATAGAAATGAAATGGGAGTTATGGTCTGATCTCACGTTTTCAGTATTTTCAATATTTGTTCAGTTCTGCAGTATAGGCTCTCATGAGTCATAAAAAACTTCAATATAACATAATTCCATATTGAATATTGCATCCATGGGCATTCAGCATTCAAAGAACATTTTGAATATGATTGGGGGGGGGGGGGGGGGGGGGTTGAGCAGAAAAGTCATCACACTTTCA